GGCTCAGAGACAAAAGTGCACGCCTACAATCACGTAACGGTCTACTTTTTTCCTCTTAATACCGGGGAAGGATACGGGATTGTCAGTGGCGCTGTTGATTTCTGTGTTGATGATGTTCAGGACAAATGTTATTGTGTCATTGGTGACTCCGTGGACCTGTATGCAGAAACAAAAGAACATGCTCAGAAACAACGCGTCACTTTGAGCACAGCTCCGACTCATTGACTCCCACAAGAGAACACCCCACTTCCTCCTTTTCCAAACGGGGACCTTTTACCTGAGGACAGCATCGCATGGTGTAAGCATCCTGGACTCTGTCACAGAACCGATGGCTCTCTGGAAATACACACCAGCACCAGATGGCATACAATCAGGCATTTTACCAAAAGCTATACTTTATTTATCCATCTTTGAAATATTTCCTTCGGATCTTTGTGTTTTTGGGAGGAAACAATGCAAACCGTCCCATGCAAACTCCGCTGGCTGTGGCCCTGTAAGCAACAGCTGGGGCTTGGACACAGGACGCGCGTCTTGTTGGGAGGCAAAGGTGCTGCCCATAGGTCAGGGATATTAGAATAACGTGGCGCCATGGTTACACAATGACGTGCTACCCATCTGTTTTAGCGTATGAACCTGTCCTCTTACCTGCTATCTGGGACGGATGGTGATCAGAGTCCAGCAGCGAGCGGAAGCGCTGGGCCACCTCGATCTGTCCGGGGTGAGGACGCAGCTTATGAATGTCTGCGAGGGGAGACGAGCGAATCAGGAGGGATGGAACGGATGGAGAATCTTGGGAGTTTGAGGTGATTATTTGATTTTTTTTTTCTTCACCCCCACAGCTGCCGCTCACCACTGTCGAAGGCCTTGGTGGTGCCCTTCAGCACCTCCAGCGTCAGAGCAGCGATAATGTCCGCCTGCCGAGCGATGGCCTGGGCTCGCTCCACGGCCTCGGCCCCCAGAGAGGTGATCATTTGGGTCCCGTTTATCAAAGCGAGACCCTGAGAGGGAGAAACACCATTGTTGTTCGCAGAGTACCCGAGGAGTAAAACCCAATGCATTCCCAGTGAACCCTGTGGCAGGTGACTTAGTGCAGGCAAATCAAATATGAGCCAGCGTGCTTGGTTTCAAACATTACCTCTTTGGGCTTTAGTGATATTGGCTTCAGGCCATGGGCTTCCAAGACCTGGCCAGAGATGAAAGGATAAAAAAAAAACATTTAAAAGGTCAAGGTTCATCAGAAGGCAAACATGTTTTCCTACTGGACCTTGCTACCTGTCACTCTTACAAGCAGAGGGCACATTAGTTAAGTTATGTTGGACAACCACGGAAAATGATCACGAGTTAAATCTGTTAAGATCTTACATATTTGGCATCCGCCCATCCGCTCTTGGGGGACCACATTTTCCCCTCTCCCATCAGCCCCAGGGCCAAGTGAGAGAGGGGTGCGAGGTCTCCACTTGCACCCACCGTTCCCTTCTCTGGGACAAAGGAGAGGCAGGACGCTGCAGGGGGGCCGAGTAAGAGATCAGTGATATGAGTCAGCCCCCCCCCCAATACTCTGAATGAAAGTTATAAGCAATCAGCTGAATCTGATATCGCCGGTCGGTTTCTTATAGGCCGAGGCTGACGGCTTACCGTTGAAGGCTTCAATCATGGCATGAAGGGTTTCCGGAGAGATTCCACTGTACCCTTTGGCCAGAACGTTGATCCTCAGAGCGAGAAGCATGCGGGTCCTCTCTGGGCTCAGCGGGTTTCCCACACCTGCACACCATAGCGTAGCATTGGTGGTATGAATACAGGAGCACTGAATAGGTCGAGGTTTTACATGGCGGAGCCATTATTACCTGCCGAGTGTGACCGCACCAAGTTTTCCTGCAGCTCCCTGTGGAAGATGAAACATGAAATCAGCTCATTCTCCAACAGACGCTCTAACGTGGTCAAAGAGAACGGACGTTACTTGAGCTTGCTGACGGGAATAACTGTCCGAGCAAATTTGCCAAATCCTGTAGTGATTCCGTAGACAACTGGAGGAACAGAGAGAGAGACGCAGACGACCCAAAAGTGACTTCATGAAATGCTGAATAACGGTCGGATGAATGCATTTCAGTTCACTCTACCTTTGTTTTCTTTGACAATAGTGTCCAAAAGCTCTCTGGATAGCACCACTTTTTGTTCAGCCTCCGGAGTCAGCTTGAAATATTGGTAAAGGGAGGTATGTTAAGTTAAAGATTTAAAAAAAAAAAGAAGAAAGTCAACGATTACACAGACTAAACATAGCTGCAAATACAATTTGTTGATCATTACCTTTATCTTGTAGAGTCCTCTTCCTAAGTTGACCAGATCGGTCGACGTCAGGCTGTTGCCATCCAAGGCAATATACTGTACATGAAGAGTTGTGTTACCCAGAAGTACGTCCAGTTAAAAACGGGGGATATGAACACTTACCTCTCTGGGTTCTCTGTATGCTGCTGTGCTATTTCACATCATAATTAAGAATAACGTCCAATAACATTTTGCACAACACTGTATTATATATTTATTTCACTTCTGTTCATTTTATTCTAGCATTGTTGCTGCAAAACATTGATATTTAAACAAAATATTGTTCAATCTCAACTTAAATACCCAAGTGTATTAATAATATGTGTAAGGATACAGATGAGAAACTCCAGGCTCATATGGGATGAAGTCAGGAGACATGGTGTCGCCTTCAATAGCTGAAAGTACAGGACATTAATGAAAAACATTAACATGATATTGTGACATTCAGGCTACAGGTAATATCGGCGCACATACCCGAACCATGCACAATTACGCACGGCAAGTGGCACAGCTGTGTAATCCACACCCAAATGTGACGAATAGCATCCTTATTTACTGCATTTCTTTACCCAGCTCGACGAAGTCGTTGTCCTCCAGCACATCCTCCACTGTGTCATCTGCGTCCAGCAAACCCAAACCCTGGCACCTGCGCACCACAAACCGGGCGTCCTTCACCGCCGCGATGCCGCCGTTGTCCGGCTTGTTCTTCATGTACCGTTTGAGCGCCTCGTGTCCGAGCCACCGGATGGTGTTGGTGGCGTCCCGGCAGGGCACAACCAGCCACTCATCTCGGATGTGGACGGTGAAAACAGGCATTGCGCTTCGGCGGGTGTCTCGGCGCAGTGACCGCTGCTCGCTTCTCCCCGGGGAACCAGCTTCAGCCACCCAAAGTCCAGCCGCCAATCAGACGCGGCGCTCGGGGGCCCCGCCTGGCCGCTGTCCCACCTCCGGGGACCACTGACCTCCACAGGTCGGTCACGTAGATGTTTCGACACATCGACCCAGAAGCGTTCACGTGATTTAACCACGTAAACCCACCGTGTGCTGGGAGGAGCCAAATGGCATGGATCTGCTGATTTAGTTTTACATGTATTTAGACCTGCTGCCCGTATAAGGGTAGAATATATTAGAAAATAAGTTTTACAACGGAAACAATTATTGTTATAGCTGCAACATTGTATTACTGTTGATTCATTGATTTTCACTCTGAAACTTGAGTGAATGTTACAGGAAGTGAACTTGAAATTATCAACATCTGCATCTCGGGTTGTCAATGTTGATGTTTGTCTACAAAGATGGTGCATCATCCAAAGCTCACATTCTACAAACGATGTATTTTAACTTGATGGGAATGAAGTTCATTTTTCCAAAAAAGGCTCGACAAATGTACGTTGTAAAAAATGAATTTAAATAAACACATGTCCTCACACTGAGGCGCTCCCAAAGGGAAATTTATTTTACATGCATTAGTTTTCAACTAATTATGGATGCAATCATTTTGCTCTGCACAATCTAGCTTACAAAATAAGTAACAAAGTCAATGTGATTTTTCTTAATCAGAATTTGATGCAGACGTTTTTACTTTACAGCAGTTAGAGGTGTCAAAACATCTAAGCAGCTTTCTAAAGGATTTCGCTCCATTTCTAAGGGAAAATGAAAAATAACAAAGCTCTTATTTACCAAAAAGAAACGTGTGGGTTCTGTGCTACCAGAACTCTTAAAATCTTTATGGGTAAATGCAAAGTTCTCAGTGTGTCGAACAGAGGGGAAAGTGGTCAAAAGTGCACACGATGTAATTACGGCTTCTATTGGATGCTTCGGTTGTGTGTCATCCCCCTATTCATACCTTTTTTTGATTTGTTTCTAAATCAAGTAAAGAAATATGGCTTAAAAATAAACTCCAAATATAACTAACTTCTCAAAAACCACCACACAGCTTAACATTTTATGTCAATCATCGTGCTTCTATCCTGCAAAAAGATGTAATTGGGTATGAATGCAACAACTTAAGTGATTTATTGCATCGTTGTTTGACGAGATAATTACCAGCCATTGTTCATTTTGACAAACTATTCGAAAAAAGAAAAAGCAATTCCATATTATACTTTTCAAATTTAGATTTCAAATTATCCCATAAAAATTCAGAAAAAAACAACAGTAAGCTACATACAAACTAATACTGAAAGTAATTTATTAAAATAATACACTTAATAATATACTTTGCAGGTTTAGATTAATACAAAATCACCTTATACAGGCTGAACTATTCGGCAGTACAAAGTAATTAAGAAGTAATTTATCAGATACAACATTATTTACAGTTATCCACACAATAATAATGAATAATTAATAAATAATCTGAAATGAATCTTCCCACGTGATCATTTTACCTTCAGTGCGCTAAGTTGTCACGAAGTAATGAAGATGTCACAGTAGTAGATTCACAACGTAACATTTGCTGCTTCTCTAAATAAAAGACGAATACCTCAAATCACGTGACTTCTGGCCCCTATCTTGTTTGTATTTTACGTAACGAGGCGAACCTGAAAGCAGCACGTGGGCCTGCGGTTCGGCTTATGTCGGTTCCCTGGCCGTGGGAGTTTCCGCCTCCCCGGGCGCAGCCCCCTTCCTGGCCGTCATCGGACACCAGGCCGAGGAGAAGAAGAGAGGGGGGGGGGGGGGGGGAGGTGTTTACACAGACGGCAAACCGCCTGGGGAGTCGTCGGGGAGAGGAAGTCAGCCGGCTCCGTGTCTGCCTGCTCCAACTTCCTGCTCACGAGAAGAAAAAGCACAGGATCCTATTTCAGTCCCGCACAACTGCAGCGCAGCGGAGGGAAGCATGGAAGGACAAGGAGGCACACGAGCTGCGCCGTAAAGTCCCCCGGAGGGAAGACGAGCCGAGTCGCGCGTCGCAGGTAACGTGGAAATGAACGGAGCTGTTCGTAGTAACGTCGCTTTGTCGCCTCGCCGCCGCTGTAATAACGCGCGATTAGCAGAACACGCCACTGGATCCACGGGAAAGTGTCGGAAGCAAGTTTTTCTTCTGGCTCTTTTTTTTGTGTTATCGCCGTGTGTTGGTTAAACTTTTTCAGTGTAGTTTTTAAAGTAAGACTGAGAACTGTTCCCGTCTTCCGGTCCAAGCAACATCTTGAGAATGCGTCACTGGGGCACAATAGTGATCCAAAGCTCCGTGCGTAACGGCGACGCTGCTGCGACGTCCAGGTCCCCGGACGGGAGCCTTCAGAGGCCGACAAAGGACGAGCAACGCGGCCGCAGGTCCGTGGCAGCTGCTCCCAGATGTTTCTCTTGCGGGCCCTTGTTGGGTTTTTCACCGTCTGCGAACAGGAAGAGAGCAGATTTTGTCACGGTTAAGTAATGTCTGACACGCGCGGACACACACACACACACACACACACACACACACACACACACACCATCTCATCTCATTTGCCGTTTCCGTTCAGCGGACACTGGGTGGCTTTGTGCGCACAGCGAGACGTCTCAGCCCCCGATGCCCGATCGGACCGTCGGTCTCCCCCGGAAGAGTAGTGGCCGTGTCACGTTCACGTACCGAGCAGGGGATTTCATCCCTGTGCGGGAGGGATGCCCAATCTAAGATTCAAGATAAGGTGCCGGTAGTGAGGTTGTCGCTGGAGGGAATTTGGGTCGATTTATTTCTCTATGAGGTTTTTATTTTCCACTTTCCAGCTTCTTGCAGCATCTCGCACATTTGATATTGTAGCTGCAGACCTGACAGCTCAGTGGTCTGACTGTAGTCTGACCTCACACTGGTTTAAAGGGTGTAGTCGTGGAAAACAGGGGGGGGGGCTGATTTGATCTTTTGACCCCTTACCTCTAGAGGCCCGGGGACATGCTCCCCCGCTGTGGGACTCCCTCCCCGGCCCAACATTTGTCCTTGGAAGTAGAATAGGAGGAAGTCCTGACTTTGACAGGTTTGTGGTTCTCGGGGAGGGGGGGGTTTAGTCGGAAATGAGTTGAGCCCCCCCCCCTCCACCCTCCCTGCTCACTGGACAGAGAGATGGAGCGCCGAAACAAACAGCCTCCCCCCAAAACACTGCGTTTTAACATGTGAGCTGCTACACAACCCACCCTGGACCCGTCACACTTCCTGTGGAGAGACGGCCAGGTTGGACCGCAGCATATTTCTGGCTTGTTGTTCTTCCTTACATTTTCTTTTTTCTCTCTCTCGTGCCGCCACATGACACCCCCCCCCTCCCCCCTTTAAAACACGCAGCGCTCTGCTCCACATGTTACAGGCTCTTCCTCTTCATCCAGTTACGTCTTCATGCAGAAAAGCACTAATGATGCGAAACGCAGGCTTCGCCATGATACAATGTTGTGTGGGTTATTTGCGGTACGAAGGTTGTCACGACGCAAATTCAATTGATTGATTGAACCGCCAACGGCCCGTGTGACAAAACGTCAATCGCTCATTTAACACACATCAGTTGCATTTATGTCAAGGATAATAACGAACGAATCATTTCAGAATAAGATAGTATGCAAGTCAAAGTATTGTTTGCCAAAAATGTCTCAAGTCATGAAAAATTGTAGTATGGAATTTCCTGAAAATAGAATATTAGCCAGAATATGTCATGAAAAATGTCCATCTGTAGTCATAGCATGTCATAAAAATAGTACAGTGTTATAGTATGTTGAACATATACATACATGGTGTGCCAAAAATGTTTAAGGTAATTTAAAACCGTCATGGTGTATAGAGTAAAGGCCATGGTATAATACTTAATACAAACTTGTAAGGAATACCCAAGAAACCTTATTGCATAAAATATCATAAATGCAGCCGTGTAGTGTGCATTAAAAGTCATCGTTTCGTTGCAATGAAAAGCTCTAAAAAAAAGTCCCAATACTTTATATGCTCCGTGCATGTCGAGTTCCGCCCTCTGATCATGTCGTTGTGCAGGTATGGACAGTGCCATCACCCTTTGGCAGTTCCTGCTGCAGCTGCTGCTCGACCAAAGTCACAAGCATCTGATATGCTGGACGTCCGCGGACGGAGAGTTCAAGCTCCTCAAGTCGGAGGAAGTGGCCAAGCTTTGGGGGCTACGCAAGAACAAGACCAACATGAACTACGACAAGCTGAGCAGAGCGCTGCGCTACTACTACGACAAGGTGAGCCGGCTGTGGTTCCCGTGTGGGAGGCGTGACGTAGCACTCCAACGCAGAGTTGTTCCAACGGATCCGCCCCGGGAATTGAAATGCTGTCACCCCCCCCCCCCTTTTTTATTTCCCATCAACAGTGATTTCTCATGTAAGAGTCTCGCATCTAACGCTGTTTACGGTTTCACAAGAACATCGTCAAGAACGTGATCGACAGAAGTCGTCTACAAGTTTGTCTCCTTCCCGAGATCCTGAAGATGGACCCTCAGGCGGTCGAGATGGGCCTGGCTTCTGGAAGGTTCCCACTCCAGGAAGGAGAGCATCAGAGTGGAGTAGAGGAAGAGGAGGAGGAGGAGGAGGAGGACGTGGACGTGGAGGAGGAGGCCCAGAGGAGGGCCCTGGCAACCCTGGGTGCGCAGCAGTGTCGCAACGACTACCTCCGCTCGGGGCTCTACTCCTCCTTCACCGTCAGCTCCTTGCAGAACCAGCCGGAGCTGCTCCGGGCCCTGCGGGAGCGCCGCGAGGAGCCGCGCTCCGTCATCCGCTTCGGCACCAACGCCAACGAGAGGAGCTCCCCTCCGTCTGCCGCGCTGCAGTCCTACGGCTCCCCCGGCTTGTCCAAGCTCCGCTCCCCACCCTCTCCCCTCGCCCGTCCCTCCCGTCCCGGGCGGAGCTGGAGCCCCGCGGCCAAGGAGGAAGAGGAGGACTCTGACCAGAGCGCTCAGCCCCTCAACCTCTCCTCCGGGTACAGGGAGCGAGCCCTGCCCCCTCCTCAGAAGAGGAGCAGCAGCAGTGGTAGAAGTAGCTCCACCAGCAGCAGTGGTAGTAGCAATCAAGGAGATGGACTCCCACCCAAAGGGAAAAAGCCCAAAGCTCTGGAGATCTCATCCCCGTCGGTGCTGCTGGCGGGGAGCGACATCGGCTCCATCGCCCTCAACAGTCCAACGCTGCCCTCCGGCTCCCTCACTCCCGCCTTCTTCACTGCACAGGTGAGACGGTCGGTCCGAATGACCGCAGCGAGGACAGATAAGTGTGTCCCCGCCACGTTCACACGGGGGTCCCAAGAGACACGTGGAGGGGTTTGCAAATTGCCCAACGTCTGCTGGGAGAAGACAAACGTTTGCGTGACACGTCCTGCAAACACCCGAGGCTCCTCTCAAGCCTCCTTCATCTCGTTCCAACACGTTCACACGTTCACCAGCCCTCCCGTTTCTGCTCCCAACACTTTACGGCGGGATCAGAGATTCGTCCACATTGGAAGCACCAGTAATAATCATGCAATTGTCTGAAAATATAACGATATGTTTCTGTCCCCTCTGTGTGGTGGCCACAGAGACATGATGGATCTGTCCAGAGCATGATGTCATTGTCCCTAAAGCGGTCTGAGAGCAGCAGGAGACATCTGACGCAGCCTGGCATGTGTTGGTGGAAAGACTACTGCCACGTTTCTTTAAATAGTCACTTAAACCAAAACTTGCTTGCGATACAGAGAGACAAGGTATGAAGAGGCTCAACTTGCAGGGTGTTATCTTGTTGCACTGAAACGTTTTTTTAACAAATGCAACTGTAATGAGTCATCGTCTGGTTTGGTGGCAGCTTAAACCTCTCAAATCCTTCCAGTAAACAGCTCTGTGGGTAAAAGCCCAAATTATTGCCAGAATGTTTATGTTCTGCAAACAGGGCTTATCAAAGTACGTCTGCACTAAAAATACAGTTTGAGAGAAAGCACACGCACAGTGTGTTAAGCGCTCTGACATTTAGTTTTCTTTTATTAAATCCCCAAAAGCTCGGCGACAATCATCTGGCAGTTAATAGTCTCCACGTAAAAGGACCCCTCCACATCAGAGGTGTGATCCACACGTCGAGAGAGCCGTTCATACCAAACTCACGCGGCCCGTTTATGAGGGCGCACAAAGTGAGATCAGAGGAAAACGAGCAATTTACAGGAATCCTCTGCAGGTCCAAGCTGGGAGAGGCGGAAGAGGCCCTAAGTGATGCCATATGCGCCAATAATTCCATTAATAATGGGAGCAGGGCCCGGTCCCTCCGCAACACAGGCTCACTTCTCCGAGGTGACACGGGGGAACGGGGGGGGGCAGAAATTGATTTCATATGTTTTTATTTTTTTGCTGGCTTTTCAGAGTGCTTTAGGACCCCCCCCCCCCAAAAAAACAACCCCCACTGGCCACCTCCCCCCCAACTTCAACCATGTATTCTGGGGAGAAACCACAGACTTCCTTCCTGCGCCGCCAGCATGTTTTTCCAAACGCCAGCACGCGTCCGTTTACCGTTCCAGCATGTTTCGCATTACCGACGGCCTCAGAGCGACGTCCTCCGACCCGTGTTTTTATTTTACTTCATTGGGTTTTTCTGATTTTACATGAAGCCTCTTGCCCCCCCCCTCCCCCCACAGACTCCCTCTGGCTTGCTGTTGGCTCACAGTCCGCTGTTGTCAGGGATCCATTTCTGGAGCAGTTTGAGCCCCGTAGCGCCGCTTAGCCCCGCCCGTCTGCAGGGCCACGGCTCCCTCTTTCAGGTGACAAAACACACACACACACACACGCTCGAAATGATTATTGTTTACTCTCAGCGGGCGAAAGCCGAGGAGGAAGTTGCGAGGCTGTGCCCGCTTTCCAGCAGTTAATGTTTTGTCCGAATATTCACTCAGGTGAGTTTAAGGTAAAGGAATCATGCACATTAACGTTGCTCCTCTATCTCCTAGAAAGACGTGCGCGTGTAAAGTGCCGCTCTTGATCATCTAGAATTTGCACCTTTCAGCTGACGCAAAACCTAAAGAGATAGCCGACAGTTGAGCCCAGTGGAGACCTGGTAAGCAGGTCCAGCAGAGGTGTCTTGTTTCAGAGAGGGAGGAAATCCTGTGAATACTTCCTGTTTGAGCCCAGGGGAGTCAGACCGAACAGGGTGGACTGGTTTTAAAAGCGGCTCCTCATTTGTGAAACACACACACACCACAACCGGATTTGTGCGCAAATAATGTTGACTTGTCCGTGTGTTGGAGGTGCAGGGGACAGCGACGAAAAGGAAGAGGCACAATGACTTAAAAAAAACCCCCAAAACAAAACAGGAAGCCAGCGCAGTGACAATGCTGCAGTTCCTCACCGGAAAGCCGCTTTCATGAGGCCTCCGTCGCCTCCTCGCTAACGCTCGCCTCCTTTCTCCTCCTCCACAGTTCCCCAGCCTAATCAACGGACACATGCCTCTCCCCCTGCCAAACCTGGAAGGAACACCCTCCTCCCTGCTCCTGTCCCCTGCCACTCACAAGTCCTGATCCCCCCCCCCGCCCTCCTTCACTGCCCCATCTTCATCCACCTCTTGTTGTGACACCAGCAGCAGCGACCTCTGGTCCGTCGGGTTCGTTAAAGTGACACCAGGCGGTATGTGACCTCACTTTTTTGCACTTGAGTTGCTTCGGATTCCAGTGGTTGACTCCAGCTGGTCAAAGCCACGAGAGACGTCTGGCTCTCTGTGATGAAGTACAGCACATGGACACTAGTGGCGTGTACCCAGCTGCAAAAAGGGGCTGGCTTGTTTTTATCTTGTTGGGGAAAAAAAAAAAAAAGTATTCCCCCCCGAGTTCATCACGTTGTGAAACTGGTTGTTTGACATGTGGAGTGTTGGATGCACTATGCTTCTCAGTACCGGCTGTGCCTTGTTGTCCTATATTTCTTTTAATGAAGACGAGATTTCAAATGAATGAAAACATTTAACACTTGTACTGTTCTTCCTTTTTTTTTTTTTTATACTGGACTTGGTATACAGTTTGTATTCTGTATCATTTTTTATTGTGAAGAATGTTTCAATAAACAAAGCATTGAATGCTTGCCTTTAAATTAAAGACTTCACAGAAGCTAAAAACAACATTTTAGAAGTGGAACAAGACAAACAAGGTCATGGGACTTTCTACTTTAGCTTTGTGCACACGCTCTGCTCTCATTCGCCTCCAGCTACTATAAAATCAGCAGTTATGGCAAAGCCGCCTCAAAACAGTCAGTGGATAAAAAAAAAAGTGTTTCTATTGTGATCAATTTTCTCAATAAACTAAGCATTTAATGCTGGAGTACAAACGGCAGCTAAAAGAAACAATTTTGTGGCAAAGACGAAAAAAGTTCATGTGGCTTTGCTTTAAACTTCAGATTTAATTTTCTGTACTGGAAAAGCTGACGTGGGACGGCATCTGCAATGGAATCCCACGGCAATAACAATTATCAACAAATAAAGTCAAAGAATATCTTACAAAAGATCTCTTGTAACACTGTTAAATAGACAGACTGAGGATGGCGTTCCCGAGGAGGTGGAGGAGGAGGAGGCCCGGAGCTCCTCCACCTCCTCCACCACCTCGCGTTGGGAGTTCTTTCTCACACAACAGAGCGGACATGCATCAATGATGGAGGCAGTCCGGATCCGGGGAAGGATCCTTCTACAGCTGGTGGAGAACACATGGGTGATGCAGCACATTCAGACACTGGGGATTCACCACTAACAGACTGGAGGATCCTGGAATGATGCGCCGGCATCTGACAAGAATTTGATCTTTGTGTTCGGGAACCCAACTTATTAGCCTCGAGCTACGATAACATCAGCAGTTATATTAAAGCTGGCCTCAAAGACCTGCGGAGTACAAAGTCACACGTGATGGGTGCTGCTGAGAGGAGAGGAAATCAAACCCTTTTGAGTTGCTACACAAACGTCCCTCTGCTTGTCCTCACACCCAAACACTCTCTGGGGAGGTTTTTTTCCGTATGAAAATGGAAACATCTCTTAAAATACCACTTCAAACAAAAAAAATAATTAAGAAATAAACAATCTATACACATTGCATGTACTCATTAAAGTGACTGAGTCAGTTAGAATTCTAGACAGTAGTTGGATTTAGCAGCAAATTCTCTTCTCAATAAATATAGATGTACAGTATATAAATGTCTCTTTGGGGGCCGGACCGGGGGAGGAGCTTTGTGGCACTGTAGACCAGTTTCACCAGTAGCTTGATGACGAAACTCCACGCTAACATCTATTCCTGGTCACTGATCCATCGGCGAGGCTGCACAGCTTGGTGACTCTTCTCAAATAACTAAACAGTCCAGAGAATCTAAAACAGCATGCTCTGTCTTCTGTTCTTTCCATTGCCTGAGGGGAGAGAAGGAAAAAAACATTCAATCTGTTTCCACAGTTTGCGCCAGAGTCTTTCAAACATTATAAGTTGCCATCAGACAAAAAGTCATCCTCTTAAGATGCCATTTAAAAAAAAATCTTCAACGTAAAACAGGCTCTTCTGTGGCCCCCTGGGGAGGAAACATACAAGCAATATTTATATTAATATTAGTCTTTTCTACTTGCATCATCTCTTACCTGACTCGGGGTAGGAGGAGTTCCGGTAGCCGGGATCTCTCTGCATCTGGACCTCCTTCAGTGTGAATATGGATATGCCTAGCGGACAGAGTCGGTCAGTATGACAGAAATCACATGGTGCCATGAGAACAGTGTCTTTATTATGAGGCTGTAACGGATCCTCGCTGTACACGGCAATATGCCTGCCAAGTCTGCATCGCCGCGCTGCCATTTCATTACTCACTCTCTGGCAGCGTGTGCACACGTGGCCCCAGGCTCCTGAAGTACGGCTGCCTCATCGCTTCATCTGCAGATATTCTCTTCTTCGACTCGTACTGAGGTTCAGGGCAGAAAAAGAAAAAACGTACCGTCATTAAAGAATGAAAACAAAATGAAGTAAACGTGTGCCGACTGGGCCACCTCTCTCCCCAAGAAAGACTCACCTTCAGGAATGACATCAGCAGGTCGATGCCATCATTGTCCAACCTATGGGGCGGGTGGGGGGGGAGAGGTCAGTAGAGGTCGAATGACTCACAGATGCTGGTAGTGTAAGGAAGGAAGCACAGTCAACTATTTCACAGGATTTCCTAACAGGAAGTGACAGAGGACCCACGCTGCGAACTCTCCAAGTAAAACGACTAGAAACCTCACATACGGAAACCTCTCCAATACCTGGGTCTGATCAGGAAAATGTGCTCATTTCCATCTTCAGTGATCGGAGAGCTTACGAGAAAGGTGAGGGGGCAGTGTTAAGAAGTTGTAAAGGGTAGAATTGCCATCTACTGTAAACATCTGGAATAACCCAACCGGACATTTGATAAGCTGCAGCATGAGAATAAAAGACGATCGGTACATTACAAGGATCCCGGTCATACCTGGGGGCGTGGTTTATGAGCGGCTGAACCTTGTACTTGGGGAACTTGTAGGACTTGAACTCGTCCATGGAGGATATTCCGGGCCAGCTGTCTTCAGAGGGAGTGCCTGTGGAGGGACATTCAATGGACGGTATTAGTAAGGCTCGTCCATGGCAGCTGGAGGGACTTTTCACACTGCCACAAGGGCAACATGCCAGGGTTTATGCGATTAAAGGCTTAGTCTAAAAAAGGTTGAAGGCTCCCCTGTCAGCAGGGGGCAGCACTGACCGAGCAGCCTGAAGATCAGATGGAGCTCGTCCTCCACCGTTGAGCCGGGGAACAGCGGCCTGCCGGCGGCCATCTCATAGAATATGCAGCCCACACCCCTGACAGGAGGGATTAAGTCGTACGCAGTTACATATCGGACTGAGGCGGACACAAAGATTCAAATCGACGAGTCATCTGTATTCATGCCTCCACTAGCATTTTATGAATCATCTCCCTGAATTGTACATTAACTGTGCGATCTGTCCAATAAATCAACTAGAATTATAACCCAGCTTGTATAATTATGCCGACCCATCAACTTTCAGTTCAAATCCACATCCGACCCAAATGTTATCACTTTATCCAAATAGATATTTGAATTCTGGAGCCCAAAAGTGTCTGGAGGTCAAAGGTTACCGTTACCTCAATGAGTAAAGGTCAAAAATATGTCTGTATTATAGTATGTCAAAACCAAGTATTTCATTAAATTGTCCTTTTCAAGGAAACGTTTGTGAGACACTAGTAAAGATTCCCTCTAGGCGTGTAGGGAGGACACTTTAGTAATACTTACTATTAATACCAATACTTAAATTACTCGAGGGCCGTGTTCAGTCATATGAACATAAGGAGGTCAAGTATTTTCACAGTTCGTCGCTGTTGAGGGAGGCCCACTCACCACATGTCTATCTGAGTGGAGTACTCAGAGGAGCCCAGCAGCACATCGGGGGGCCGATACCAAAGAGTGACCACCTCGTTAGAGTAGGTTTTAGTGGGGACAGATTTGGCCCTCGCTAGGCCTGTGGAGCAAAAACATGAGATATGAAAACAGATATGCATTTTGTAAATATGGAACAATGTAGATGAAATACGTTGGGTTCAGCTTTAGAACGGTATAAAGAGGAGTGACGCTTGTTCCAAATGACACAAAAGAATGTTAAATCTTTTCACATATTAGTAGTTTTTACCAAAGTCCGCTAGTTTGAGTTCTCCTCGGTCGTTGATGAGCAGATTCTGGGGCTTCAGGTCTCTGTGGAGAACTTTCCGCCTGTGACAGTACGCCAATCCTCGCAGGATCTGGTACAAGAAAATCTAGGAGGAAAGAAATATTTTAGATCGATGTTGCTGCATTACATTTAACTTATCCAAACCCCTTGTAATATACATTTTTTATAAAAATGAAAGACACTAAATTCAGGACATCAACATTCTCAATGTGCAGTTTAATTATTGTTATTAAAGACCAAATTTGAAACCAAAAAGATTTCCGTGGAAAAAGAAGGTTTAACAAAACAGAGCGCTCTCTCTGCACGGCCTTCTCTCCACCACCAGGGGGCACACTAACAGCGTCTGGGGGCAGTTGATAAAGTTGGCCGGGCCAGCGGGGCGTCTGCAGAGGCTCACCTTGACGTTGTGCATGCTCAGGATGTTCCCGCAGTCGTCCATGTACTGCTTGAGGTCTTTGTCCTAGACGAGAGAGAGCGCGTTAAAAGAGTGCAAAGGCTGCAGGCACGTAAACAGTAGTGCTCCTGCATTATCATCCCCGACCCTGCAGACGGTCATGAATAATAATGATGTCAAATGTATTCATTTTAGCCTCCGTGCAGAGAATAAACCTGCGAGTCAGGCAGAGGTGAAGGGAGGGGGGAGGGTGGCCACACTTTTGTCCTCACCAGATACTCGAAGACCAGTGTGAGCGACTTTTCCGTGTGGATGATGTCGTGCAGCGTCACGATGTTGGCGTGTTTCAGGTCCTTCAGTAGTGACACTGGAGGACAAGAAGGAGGACAAGGCTGTAACGACTGGACACACTTAAAATCATCAAGTGACGTTTATTCACAAAGCGTCGACACACAAAAGTAAGTCAACAAATTCACAATACAATCGGATAAAATACCAAAGACAAAACAAATTATATAAAACGCATAAATATTATCCCCAAAACAGTGGAGGAAATGAGTCTGTATGGTTGCGGTTTAAAATGTAATGGATATGAAACCATTTGAGTGAAAACAGTGAATAATGATCTTCAGTATTGTGTTCATAACTAAACCTATTTTATGGCGAGAGAAAAGTGGACTAACAGTGGGTAATGTATGAGATAATGCTGAGAAATACCTTCTCTGATGGCCGTGCACGGAGCCCCCTCCTCGTGCTCCAGTCGGATCTCCTTCAGCGCCACTAGGTTGTCGGTCAGCTTACTTCTCCCCTTGAACACCGTAGCGTATGTGCCCTGGGGGACAGGAAGACGAGGGACGAGGTGAGACAGGCTGCCGTGTGTTAGAGGTAGGCTCCATAGCCGTGTCAGGATAAACAGAAACACCCTCACGTACCTCCCCCAGTTTGTCCAGTTTGACGTAGGTCTCCAGTTTCCCAAATCCGATTTCTGACTGCAGACGAGAAAAAGGACAAACCGCATTATTAAACAGAGCGTGTTTGAGAGCACTGACAAGCTTACAGACACTACGGCAAATCCTTATGATGGCCTCAGAGCAATGAGGGGGGGGGGGGGGGGCACCATCAGAGCTAATCTCTGGTGACAACTGATTTGTTCTTTGTTTACAAGGAGGGGAACACAGACTTTATTTTAAATGAGTGTTTAACACAAAATGGAAACCTCTAAACAGGACTTGGACAAGTATGTCCCGTCCGATAGTCAGCTGAATAAATGTGCCTTTGTGGTGTTAGTGGACTATCACAGGCATCATCTCAGCCTGTGGGGAGCGTTGCCTATTTTACAAATAAAACAACTGTTGACAAAGGATCAAATCTGCAGATTCAATGACGATGTGAAAATCTCTAGTGGGCTCTAAAGAGAACAGCCAGGTAGAAGGCGCTCTGCACCGCGTGAGGCCCGGTGTCTCGCTTCTGACAGATGCTCATTCAAAGTAAAACCACAAGCCACCTACTGGGGCTGCTGCTGCTGGTGAACACCGGGGTGCAAGAAAGCACGAGTCTGAGGGGATGCGGTTAGAGCTCCCTCTCTCACTTTGGTTTCTAGCTGCCTTTAAATAAAACCCAACTCTCACAGCTGTCTATGTTCCACAGCTCCTCCCTGACGGCCTTTCTGTTTCCTTTGTTTCCGCCCGATTCTGCTCCGCCACCTCGTCTCAAATCAAAACTGCTCGCTCTCAGACGTGGGCGGCAAGTGCTCCGCATTTACATAAGCAGTTTGGAGGTATCAGCACTTCAGTTTCTTTTTTTTTCATATTGAACATTTAGCAGGGAATTATTTTAGTTTCTATTGCTTAGTGACCTGCAGATCCTGATTTTATCTACAAAATATTAGGTACGGCCGATTTAGTGACTTTAATCCACTTCAAACAAAGACGAGGAGGCAAAAGATGCTCCTTATATCCAGAATCATTTTGGAATTGAGTGATTTTTGTCTGTACAACCACACAGTCCATCTGACCACCATTTGGAATTATCCCTTTTCTTTCTTGCTCTCCAACATCTTTCCCTCTTTCCCTCGTTTCTCGTGTCTCACCAGTGATGCTCTGCGGGAGCGACGGCTCAGCGGCTGGTCGAAGGGCGGGCTGCTCAGCTGCATTTTCTCCAGGTAACCATCAGGTATCCGGATGTCCGCCGGTAGAGACAGACGTTTGTTCAGGTCCTGAATGCAAACGAACAAACAAACAAACGAGTAAAACACAGAACTGAATTCAAAAACAGTGTCAACGTGATGTGAGACCATAAAAAGTAGTAAGTATCTGAGTAACCCTCAGAAAACTGCATTAACGCTGAATAAATACCAGAGATTGACAATAAAAAGGGGAGGGCCCAAAGTAAACAACTACTAACTGTAGGAACCAGCCACCCTTAAGCCTCGTCGGTCAATAGACAGGGCAGTGTGTGTGTGTGTGTGTGTGTGTGTGTGTGTGTGTGTGTGTGTGTGTGTCGCAGCATGTTCTTGTGTAGCAGGTAAAGTCTTTCCCAGAGCAACAAAGTACCGAAGCATTATCCTAATGACTCGTTATATAAAATGAAAACACGCTCGCAGTGCAAAAACTGAATTCTTCCCATCATGCATTTCCTCTGTTTGTTAGATTACTGTTAATCTGGCTTCTCTTTCCCTTTTAAATCTCCCACTTCCTCTGAGGTAACACTGGATACTTAGTATCCCGCCCCCGCCCAAATATACCGGAACGACGTGGAACTTGAACTTTCCACATTTCAACAACAACCTCATTGAGGAATCTGTAACTCAAGTTGCATTTCAGCCTCACATTCACGACAGTGACTCAGCGGTTTGGTTTTGTTGTCGATGACAGCTGATGGATTCAGACGTGTGCTCAGCGTTATAGGAGGACATGAAAGGAAAGAAGCACACAATATCTGGACGTGTTTAGTAGACTTGTTAATCAGATATGCAACTTAAAATATTTTGGTATCTTTTGATAAGATTTTTTTATAAACAAAAACAGGATTTTTCTACTTTAATCCAAGGCGTTGTGATAAATCTACAAATAATCAAATAAAAGAAATATGTTGATGCATCCGTATTTTGAATGAAATTGTGTCCAGTTTGGTTCTGCTGGTTTCTGTGTGCCGGGTCACTATAGTTGGTTCGTCCCCAGAGCAGAGCAAACAATGCCATCCATCACCGGACCCTTACACCCCCACCTCCCCCCCCTTCTCCTTCGTTTGTCCAATCAACTTCTCCTAATCTGTAACAACAGGAGCCCATCTGGAGCGTATTACAGTAATCCCTGTGATGTAATCCCAAAACAGTGTTGCTTCGTCCTGAGCAAGAGACGCACAATCCTCTACCTGAACAGACAGGGATCTCCTTCTCCTCCATCACCTCCTCCACCACCGAGTCATTGATTTCACCGTTGGATTCCCTCATCAACAACAACAACCCCGCCGCTCACACCAGCGACCACAGTACACGGATTGTTCGTTGGGCCGCGAGAAAGCATCAGTTTGCTTGTGTTCTCGCTTCTTTCCCAATAAACCTCTTCAGGTTGTGAGACAGTCACAGGAAGTGAGGGGTGCTTGTGCACACTGTTAATACACAGCAGGAGATGGTGTGTCATGTCCCTGTGTGTGTGTGTGTGTGTGTGTGTAGCCTCAAAAAAAAAAAAAAAAAAAAGGATGCTGCTTTAACTACGCTGTTGTTTTTGCTTTACTTTCAGTCTTGCATGTTTGGTTTGTCTTTGAAGCAAGACGCATCCGCCTGCAGATGTCCCGCAATCAAACCGACCAATAAAGAGCTTCGGAGAGGGAAGTGGCTGTTCCTCCATCATGAGTTTGCATGCATGATCCTGCGGCAGGTTGCAATAGACTCGACGTCTCTACCAGTAATTTGAGAACAGTCTTGAGACATTTAAAAGTTCACTCTTCATCTTCGTATGGGGAAGTGTAAATGACAAAAGGACGGCGATTCCACAAAGCTCAAGCTGCCGGAAATGAAAGAGGTCAAATTGGTAACAAACGCATTAAAATCCTAAATGATTACAAATGTATCACCCAGGCAAATCTGTGGTGTGCTTTGTTTGAGAATATTCAACTTAATGAAAACGTAAGTAGAAAGGCGAGAAGTAATCTCCTTGTTCCCTTTCACTGTGACAGTAAATGGTTCTTCCGTGAATCCCATTAGTGGCCATTAAAGTGGCTAAAGGGAGAGAGAGAGAGTTGTCCATTTGAATCTCGCCAACTACTGCTGACATTTACACAATAATATGATGCAAGTCGATGGTAGAAATTGGCTCAATTCAAAAGAACCCCAATGTGCACACGTTACTGCCTGAAACAGCGTGATTTCCCTTCTTTCTGATCTTGTTCTGCATTTTAAGGGCACATCCCTCTATCCATATGCGCTGCTCAATTAAACCCGCCTTAGCATGGAGCAAGCCATGACAACTGCAGCAGCTGCTTTTGTTCTCAAATGTTGGCGCTTTTATGAATTTGGGATAAGAACACCGGTATAAATACGTGCAAAGTCACCTTTTTCAGAAAAATGCTGGTGGTGAAATGAAATCCCAAAGAAATACAATAATAATCACAGCAAGTGGTCTTTTCATATTGTGTTTATATCATGTAACCAACATAGGAGTGTGTGTGTGTGTGTGTGTTTAATGAGGGAGTAAGTAAGGGGGCGGGTGCTGATGGTCATGACATCTGTGAAGACCTTTTAAAAACAGATTTTCAGAGTATGTTCAGCCCAGCAGTACAGAATGAGGAGTCAGAGTGTGTGTGTGTGTGTGTGTGTGTCCTGCTGTGATGTTGTGGGCAGCTGAGGACTTTGGCGTGTTCATGACACACTGCGAGAACTCGCCTACGATACTTTCCTACGTCTTACAGCGCGATGCCGTGACGCACACATCTTTAAAAACTGACTCTTCGTTCATCATGAATCCATACCTCCTTTCCTTTTCAGCGTATTCATTGATCAAAACACGTGTTCAACAACCACGTACGGGCCAACGAATACATGTTGTAGTGTAGGTTGCAGTGAGTCATGTTGCCCACGAGGCCCCATTTAAAAAACGGCAGAACGGCCATGAATGAATCCAACGTGACGGAGGAAATCCTCACCTCGGCGGAGATGCGCCGGTTCCCTCGGTTCCGCAGACAAACGCCCGTGGGCGACTGCACCTCGTCCGAGGACGTCCCCGACGCCTGGTCACTCTCCCCGTCCGACCCCATCTTCAGGTTCTCGTGGACGATATCTGGAGCAGAGAAAGACGGGACAATGGGACAGGAGGTTGAGCAGGTCCTGTTGTCATGAGTCTTCTGGCTGTGTCAGATGAGTGTACGTGAAGAGATACACAAGTATATTAGGTTTGAGGTTTGACTGATGGTTTATTATATTTCATCGCTACGAGGACTTACGAGACAAAGCCATACATGACAATACCCCCAGTTTTCCCCATGGTTTATAACTGCGGGGGGCATTTTAAATACTCCATTTGGGTTAGGCGTCCACACTGTTGGTTAGCTTGAAGTATCCCACGTCATTATCTTTTTAACAAATGGCTTGTTGTGAGACTGAATGGAACACTGGAGCAATTGTACTGATATTTATGCCTCAAGCTGGGTTCGTTTTGAGCACATAATATATCCCTTTGTGTGCGTAGGATCAGCGGACTCTTGTCTCATTTATTCTTTTATTAAAGCGCCTTTCATCCAAAGTCATAGGAAGAAAACAAGAAAAACTGTTCTACCTCTTGACAAAGTAAACTATTTTAAAAAGGCAAATGTTAAATGTGATCCCAGGCCGTTTGTGTAGGCGTCAATGTGACGTGCGTCTCACCGAGGCGACTGCCGTTGCGTGGCATGACCATGAGGGATCCCAGGCCTCCCCCGATGACGCTCTGCGGCCGTCGCAGCGGCGGCTTTTTGAAGGAGCCCGTGTACTGGTGGAGGAAGGAGTGGACACTGTGGGCCGACGGGGGGCGACCGTTCCTCACTATCGGCTCTGCAGAAAAACAAACCGCTTATTTTGTTATTGGGTTGAATAAATGAGCAGGAATTCGAGATTACCTGTGACTTGATTAACGCAAAACGGAAATATGGAACAGACCAACAACGTTTGGCATCTGCTGGAAGCAAAAAGCTTTCCAAGTCACTAACGCCACACTAGTGGTGACATAGCACGACAGACCGGATCAAAGCATCACAGTTGCACAAGGGGACTGTTCTGTTAAGTTGATCCTAAAACATGAAAAATCCAAAGGCAGGAAACAAGCCACGTAGTTGCAGTCGTGACTCATTTCAGATCAGCAATGCCCAATTAAATACTGAATAAGATTTATAGAGGTTTGCAGGAAGCAACCACCCCCATCTCTTTTGTCTGGGTTCTAGTTTCAAGGGTCAATTCATTCTCGACAGTTTTGTACTTGATTTTCTTAAAAAAAATTAAAAAAAAATAAAAGGTTTAAGTTCACAGGTCTCCGAACACTTGTTAAGCAAAAAACATAGAATAGAAGAAAAAACCCACAGATCCCATGTTCCATCCAGACTCTTATCTCTCTGCAGCTGCTGGCCGGAGTTAGAAGTGTTACATAATCAGATCAGGACCAGAGCGCTTTCCCCAATCAGAGTTCAGATCAAATCTCATCTGGCCACTCCATGCTGTCTCCCCTCTACCCCACTCACCGTCTCTGTCTCTCACACACACACACACACACACACACACACACACACACACACACACACACACACACACACACACACACACACACACACACACAAGGACTGTGTCCCCACTCAATAGGCACAGAACACTCTGACCAGACCTGGTGTTAACCACAACACAAAAAGCTCTTTGCAAAGCTCAGTTAGTTCTCAGGGGGAGGGGGGGGTAGAGTGGGGGTGGCAGACTTGGATGATCTGATTAACTGAAGTAGGGGGGGAGGAGGGGGGAAACTTCCCAATTAGACAAAAGACAGAAAAAACAACGACGGGACAGAGAGGCATGGGGGTCGTGGGGACGTCTGGGTTGCCAAAAGAGAAAAAAGAAGAGTTGAAAGATCGGAGAGAAAAAAAATAAAAAAAGAGCAATGCATCAAGATGCCCGGCTGGTTTCACCAAGTCATCCAAGTTGCCGGGGCAATGTCATGGTAATGCGATCTTGAGCACCACGGCAACGGATGTGGCAGTACACAGAGTCATGCTCCCTCCCTCGCTCCCCTTTGTGAATGCCAGCAGAGAAAAGCTGCTGTGCCACTATGCTTTGATTATGGTGCCTTTAAGGCCACGACCTTCGGTGGCATCCAGATGAACGGTGTGACGAACTACAGTATCTACGACGGCGGAACAGAGTGTGTCCGCAGTGACGTCAATAGAGAAGCATGGCAGAGTTATTGCTGTAAATGTGACGTTATTTTCAATGTCAAGTGAGCGGCAGTTAGGAGTTCCAAGGCTTTGACGCATGAAAGATTCACCGGGGAGTGTGGATAGTGTGGGCTGGTAGGATGCACTTCTCCACAGTCCCTGGGGTTTTAGAACGGCGAATGCAGATCCACAAGTCACACAACGAGAAAAAAAAACTAACCAACAGAGGCAGCAGTACACAACTCTTGAGATGTTTTGGGCTAGAGGAACCGTATTTAATCAAAGCACGTCGATCAGTCCCCCATCAGACACATGCAGACCTCGCTCTGCTGAAGGTTACAGAAACCCATACAACCCCGTCAAAAAATCTGAAACATCCCTTTAAGGACAAATGTAATTTACGAATCCCAAGAGAACATATCTGATCGATGAAGTGCTGTCACGGTATCACTAACCCAACTGACGAGATGAGATTAGACTTCGCAGAAACCTACGACGATTGAAAACATACTCAGTGGGTATTTAGATTCTGATAAGTCTTAGATAATGACAGGACTTTTATCCAAATCCTATGCAAAGGTAGTCCTTAAAAATGAAGCCGCTATTTCAGACTTTCATTTTGTCACGTGATGGAAATGTAAAAAGTCAGTCTGGAGCATGAATATGGGCTTTGTTTATACCAGCCTGCCACTTATTTATTTAGTGGTGGAGGAAAAAAACAAGTTATTCAATGTTTTAAATCCTTTACTAATGTAACCGGTCTGAACACTTCTCTTCATTTTCCACCTTGTAACCTGTAACCAAGAGCCATGATAATACAAAAATAATTGCGTTAACCAAATGTAGATGTGGATGATACGCCTACAATCCTCCATCATTGATAGAAGTTATTCTTTCTTAAAAAAAAAAATAATAATATATATATATATATATATATATATATAAAGAAAATCCTGTCATCGCTGATGAAGTTGACCCATCGTGTTCTATTCGTCCGTTAACCTGCGGTACTTCTGGAGATTTGAGGGATGGAAGGTCCTCTAACTTGGTGCAGTTTTATGTAAATATGAAATAGCTTGGAAGCAGACAACCGTGGTTCGTAGAGACAAAAAAAGAGAATTGCAGTTGGTGCATTGCCATTATTTGTCACCATATTATTAAACCTTATATTAATGCTGAAAAAAAGAATATAGCCATACAATAGATAAATGAAACTGAAAAAGGGCTAATGGTGCCTCGTGATTGTGTAGCAGTTGGAGCAGCTATTTTCCCAAATGACAGAAATAGAAAAAGGTAATACTCGTAACATACATAACTGTTGCATTACCCAGGAGATACCCGTGTTATTAAGACCATAGAAAAGGAAGGTGGAGAAGACTCCTCCCGCTCCGTCACTCCAACAACGTAAGAGGCTTCTACAAACTGCTCCTGAACCTCACCGCTGTCCTTCAGGCCGTTCTCCTCGATGGTCATCTGCTCCGCCAGCTCCGACAGAGACTCGTCGATGGTGTGGCTGCCTCGTAGCGTCTGAGAGAGACGCCGCTTGAACTTCTTCATCTTCTCCATGGAGCTCTCGGGAAGGGGAGGCCTGATGATGACAGATCAAATACTTGTTTGAGCAGCGGTTTTAACCCATGCTACACAAGGATATGGACAGATACTGCTTGTTTGTTCCTTTCTACAGGAGGTCTACTCTGCACCACTATCTGTGCGCTCTATTGTTGTCGCAGGCTTTGACATTTCACAGACAAAACTGCCTGGAATTGAAAAGACGACACCTCAATTGCCTGCAGCCATGTTGCATAATCCCACACCAAGACTGGAAGTGTAATGAAAGAAGTTGTTGAATCACCAGGTGTGAACAAATCAGCAAAGCGACGTTAATTATGACTCAGCTCATTCAGGCCCATAACGTTAAATTCCTCCCCCTGGGAAAACATGACAATCCGGCGAGAGATTCTTACGGGTGAGTTTAGCGTACGGCCCGAGGCTTACCGCTCTGTAAAAGCAAATCCTAAACCAGAGGGATTTGCTCCTGAATGGAGCGCGACTATCCTGGGCCGCATCAGGTCCAAAATGACACATTCCAGCTGCATTCACCGTGTACACGAGAGTAGCTGATTATGAGAGCGAGGAGACAGTGTGTGTGTGTGGGAGAGAAAAAGATTCAGCGACAGGATCTCTATTTAGACGGGAGCGGATTAGGAGCAGCCTCTCCCTGTGACCTAAATGTGGAGATCATGACTCCGCTGCTGCTGCTGCGGATACAAACACGAGCCCGTCCGACTCCCTACTGACAACCTTGTCTTCCTAATATCCCCCATGAGCTGAATGATATCCAGAGATGTAACATGTTAAGCACACATGGAGGCGAATCGGGACACGGCAGGAACTAGAGCGAGTCGACACATACTGTTTTTGCAAAATGAAATCATTCTTCCCGTTGATACTGAACAAAGAGATTTCAATGTGAGCACAACATAAAAAGATTCTCATTCTGTATACAAATGTATTCAGCAAAAAGAAACACGAAGCTTTGGCGGATCAAATCAAGAGGAGGTTACTGCAAATTTCAGAACTAGAAATTCAATTACGTTGACAAGTTCGGCACATTTGATTTGTGCAATTCAGACAACTGAAGCCTCCCTTTATCCGCGGCCACACTTTAGAAAAGAATTCTTCACAAAACGACTGAATGAGGACTGCTTGCTACCACACTCATTGGAATGGGGGAGTGAACTCTCCTGCATACTAAATAGGAATATTATATTATATAAACTTGTTTTACAACTTGAAAAACTGTGCCGAACCCTTTAAGAAGCCATCGTTTTAACTTAATGGAGAACAGCATGACCGTCAACATAATGTATAAGAAAGTTCCTTGTGTCCAGTGAAACGTCTCTAAATATCCTTTTTTACATTTCGTTTAAAAAGAATTTCAGGCATTTCTGCTTGATACACAAATGAAACCATTAATAGATGGTTGTCAGTTATTACAGTACAGATTAGGCCCGGAGTGGAAAATTAGATTCGGCTTAAAAAACAAGCCGAGAGGTGAACAAGTCCAAAAACATGGCGACCGCGGCGGTAAAGCGAAGATGCAGACAAACCAGCAGCTACTATTTTACGCCTGACAAACAAAGTTAGAGGGCGGTTTAAAAAGAGTTAAGCTTTCAGCGGCAGAGAGCCACCCCCCCCTTCCCCCCTTCCCCCCCCAGCAGACAGAAGCAACCGTCTTTCTGATCTGGGCTCAAGGCCAAGGTAAACTGGGACAGCGTTAAACTGTAGATCACAGTACCTTAAACCACACGAGGAAAGTTCAAATCTCCATCATATCACATGACCGTTAAGTGCATCCTGTTTAAGGAGACTTCGTTCTTTCTCGACTTGCTCTGGTCCACAGCTCACTGCGCTACCCGCTCTGCTGCAGACTTCAGACCAGCCTGCAACCTGAGCGCCACATAGAACAAGCGTGCTCAGTATTGCGATGGAAACAGTTTCTGTGAACCAACGCTGAGGGAGACTCAGCGCTCAGGGTTTATTTCCTGTCTTCCTTTCAAATTAGTCAATAGCCCCGATTCCATCCAATTGCTGATTGAAGTTTAACTTTTGAAGACATATTTTAATTTAATAATGAGGCAAAATTCACTCCACTGGTTTGGAGCTAATAAACTAGGCGGAGTAACTGAAAAGAATCAGTTTAATTGATAAACACAATCATTGAGTTGTAGGCCTGGTATTATTATGGGAAATTAAATATCTGTTGTGTTTACAATCGCGCGGATGAGCTCAAGGATTATCTCGCACCAAAATTGGGGTAAATTGACAGGCTATTTGCCATTTTTTTTTAAATCTGCCTTTGGTTTCCACGGCGATATGCAGAACCCCCTCTGAATTTATGGATGTAAAAAACAGAGCACATTAACGTCCCATAAATAACCAGGATTTGACCTACTATCCTGCAGACTTTGTGTATACAAATCACTTTGAGTGTTCAGTGGAAAGTTAATGGAGCAGTAGAGAGGGGGAGAGGAGACCCGAATACGGCGGGGGGGGGGGCGTTCCTACAGGGGGGGGGTCGAGTGTAAATCTTTGGACATGATCCCTGTTCCGAGCCTTATCCATGCTCCCCTGATGGTCTGAGGTCTGAGCTCCAGACCGTCTGGGAGGTGGCATAGGAGCGGGGGGGGTGAAGAGAGGAAAGGAGGGGGTCCGACCTCTGTGACTTGTTACCACAACAACACTGCTTTTTCCCCCCATGTTGAAGATACAGAGCATGACAGGAGACATGCTGATTTTTCCGTCTCAAAACCTGTAGCAAGCCCCCCCCCATCATCACCCAGCATTACAGAGGACTCTGCTTCATTTTAAAAAGGACTTATCCTGCCAATGTTAAACTGCATCTCCCACCCCCGGCTACACATATGCTTCACATGGATTCGTGAGGGCACAGAGTGTGCTGATGGAGGACACAGGACTACCAAAAAAAAAAAAACACAGGGGTAAGAGTTCTTGCCCCCCCCTTCTTCCCCTCCCATGGCAGTCTTGTAATACCAGACTAATGCTCCACAAGCCAAAAGTCACAGCTGAAGTCCATGCAATTAATTGTCCCAGTTCTGTTAGAAACAACAATTGCATCACGGCCTCCGTCGCTGCCACAGGGCGCCCGCTGTCTGGGACACCACAGAAACAGGGAAAAAAAAAGGTTACAGCCTCTCCGTGACCCCCCCCCTCCCCGGCGGGGTTCAGTAAACCACCTCAAGTCACCGCCTTCAGGAGAACGAGGGGTCCGCCTGTCCTCCCCCCGGCTGCTTGGCTCGCACACAGGAGACGACAAAGAACAAGCGCGACCGTTGGCACGGTTCACGGGTGAGCTCAGCCTTCGCTTTTCTAAAAGAGCAGCGTTTTCTCATCTTGGCCAAGACAATGAGGCCATGAGTGAAGTAGCTGGCTCCATCATGGGGGCCTGACATAGAGACTGCATTGTGCACAGTGGGGGGGGGGGGGTTCAGGAGACGCGGGAGGTAGTTGTGTGCAGCGTGGTGCTGAGCTCAGCATGCCAATCAGGCACACTGCCCCCATGAGGTGCGGCAGGTGAGCATTTAATATTAACAGGAAGATGTGATTGAAGATGAGCAAAGAACCAGTACATGTTTAAAAAAAAGGGGGGGGGGGGGGAACTCATGGACTTGTCTTTGCTCTTTTTCCCTGCGTTGCTTTCACACACCGCGGGCTACATGCTGCTGACAGACAGGTCTGTGCTGGTGTGCGTATGCGGGTGTGTGTGTGTGTGCGTGCGAAATACAACAGAAGCCTGAGCCAGTGGTCGAGGGAGGAGGCCAGACCGGTGACGCACACCGGCACAGATCTCACAGACAAGATTCAACACTGCTGCTATGGCTACCGCAGCTTGAGTGACAGGTCTGCTCCTCTCTGAGCCGTCTTCTATGGGGCAACGCTGCCTGCACAGACAGCAGATGACCAAGTTCAATGTAGCTGCAGTTAAAATGGTCACGCACTTTGTGATTAATGCACTGTTATTTACGCAATGTGATCAACCCACAAATATCTTCACAAAACTTCTTGTGGATTGATTTCCTCTAACAAAAGGTCCTGAATATCAGCGACGTTAAAATTAAACGCATCACTCGTGTAGATACAGCCACGGCACCACTAGCACTTCTCATGAGAACGGTTTACGAATGGGACGAAAAAGGCAGGAAGTGTGAAAGATAACTTGTATTTAAATATACACACACATTGACAGCCTTTATTCATTCTAGTCTCACTCATTACAGAGAGAATCGCCCGGGCGTGGACCCATCGGATCGGAGCTTGAGTTAAGTCACCTGGTATCCGTTACTGAGCAGAGCATTAGCATCAGAGAGCGTGACAATTACACCCCCCCCCCGCCCGTCTGCAGCAGTTGAAAGGCAACAACAGGACGGGTTGCTTTCTAACTGAGGGCAGACGGGAGGACGAGGTTTTCCACATTGTCAGTCTCGGTGTCCAACTACAAACGGCACTGAGCTTTGTCGTGATCTCAGACCCGTTTATGTGCTGGAGCGCTTTAGAAAAAAAAAAGAAGCAGAAAGTGAAAGTGATATCTTGTTTGTAAAGGAGTCTACTTTCGTCTGTACACACCTCAACTGTTGGTGATTAATTGATCAACTTATTGTTTAATTGAGCTCTGAATAGTTTATCTTGTGAGAGGCCAGACGTTAATGTCAGATATTCATTTTATAAAGATATGATGGTAAATGCTTTTACCATTTCAGAGCTTTAGACCAGCAAACTTTAGCTTTTTAGAATGATTATCGAACTGTTAATTCTTGCTGTCTAATCTTTAATGGAAAGCCCACTTTAGATCAAATATTAACTACTGTGGAAAAACTTTAATTGTTCTCCTGTTTCTCACCAAGCTTTTAATTAAATGGAAAATTCGTAATGTCGTTAAGAAGCAACTTGTTCTTAGCCAAACATTGCTCTACTTGCTCAATCCCAGATTAGAAAGAAACCTACTGAGCCAAAGTACAGCGGGACCGGCTTTTTAAACCAGCTACGGTCTTTTATTAAACCTGTGAGAACAGTATGAACAACCCAGCAAATGTCAAATATGTTAAGATATGCTGGCTGAAAACCCTGATGGTTGGGTGTGTGTGTGTGTGTGTGTGTGTGTGCTTCCAAATAAAGACCAGACAAGTATTCAGATAGCATCTGCAAATCCTGCCAAGAGCGACGGAAAAATAGGCAATATTTGTCCCTCACCTGTTTGAGACATTAATACATCAGACGAGGGCCCGAATAAAACGGGTCCTCAGCCAGCTGGCCCGGTGAATGCGCCGGGCTCTTTACTGCCCGCAGACACTCAGAGCGGCCGAGAGAATCTGGGAGTGGAGGCCGGTCGCGTTTGTCTATGAGGAGCGACTGCATGCACGGGGGCCCGAGGCGCAGGACTTCTTGTTTTAAGCAAAGAAAAGAGGAAGAGTTTGTATTCATGGCTATCTATAGACGGGAGCGGTGCCTGTAACGTAGCAGCTGCTCCCCATAGAGCGGCGACACATTAACCTTCAGCCAGCTGTCTTGGCCCGGCTGCACACAAACACACTAAAAAGTCACATTTGTAAGCGCAAAACCATGTAAAATCACTCAGTTGTCTACAGTGTTTTGTTTGAAATGCATCAGAGTTTGAGGTTTAAAAAGTAGAGGCTGAATCATCTGGAAATAAAAAAAAAAACACACATGTATTAATGTGTAGGCTGTCACACATGCACACACACCCATCCGCATACTGGACCATCATTTGATCCGCGTCGGGAGTCGAGGGATAAGCGCCGCATGGCTACAGCTGTTTCACGGCAGGTCGGGTTACGCCGCCGCCTCCACCCCCCCGAGGCCCTCACCAAGGGAACGTCTCCACGTCAAACCAACACACACTCGGAGGGAGGGGTACGCTGGTACTTAAGGGATGTATTTTGAGCACACACACACACACACAAAAATAATAAATGAACACGCCTCCTGAAGCTTCTGAATGATGCACATATCTCCAGGAAGCTGGGCAGCTTGTGGCTGTCAAACTGAAAGCTGCTCACAGGAAACCAGAGAAAGTGCTTCTGCAGCACATTCATTAAGTGAAACAAAAAGTGTAGAGTGACAGGTGAGACGTTTAAAGTGTCCATACTACAGTATCAAAAGCATTTAATACTAATATATATAGATAGATATATTACGTCTGTTTTGATTGTCTACTTTCATGCGTTTGAGGATTTTCTTTCTTAATCCTCTACTTTTTGAGTGCATGGTTTCTTTTGCTTAAAGAAAAAAAAAAGTTTAGTGAAAAAGCAGATCTTCGAAATAAAGTATTGTTGGTATTGAAAGAAAACATTTTATCTGCAATAAATTGTATGCAGATAAATATCAATCCCACCAATTACTGACTGAGAGGAAGAATCAAAACGATCCAACTATAGCTGAAACGTTCTTAACATCTCAAATCTGAAAAATGTATCGTTTTCTCCATCCACTATGATGGCGAACAGAATATTCAAGATTTTGGATTTCAAAAGAAATCTCTTTGAAAAGAAGAACAATTGATCAAAACTATACTAACAATCTTTAGCAGCAGCCCTCATGTTGTTATCTTCAAGCGTGTGAGTCCGAGCAGGCTATAATAAAGTGTCCTAATGAGAACATGTAACACAGAACAATAAACGTGTAGGCACATATGCTCCTGGGTGCAGGAGAACTTCCTCATGGGTTTGCCATCGACACTTGCCTCCCAAAACACAACAATGAGGTCTTCCTTTTGCACATCCTGGACGTGTCACGTCCACCAACACACGCAGTCCACTACCGCAGGTTGGGCGAGACGTGGGCAGGGCAGGGTTTCACCGATAGCCGCCTTTCGATAGGGGGGGGGGGGCAGATTCCTGGAGTCCTTCTCGAACTGTTTCCCCTGCAGATCTGCTGCTGATCCTTTTCCGTCCCACAAACAGCTGAGACGGCTTAAAGCTCTTAATACTGACTGCGTGCGTGAGATCAGAAGCTGGTGCGACGCTTCCAAATAAAAAGACAGAAAAAGCAAGACAGTCCACCTCTACAATGCGGGTCGGTGAGTGTTTTGGTGGCGAGGCGACGCGACGCAGAGAAGTCAGTCCCTCTGAACGCGTTACAGCTGACAGCGACGTTTCAACGTGAAGGAGCGGGAACCGCTCGAGAACTTAACGTTTACTAAACCATTCATTTCAAGCCGCGCGAGGCTCAACCGCGCAGCGTTTCACCTGCGAACGAGACACAGCGAACGGCTGTGAAGTCAAAAGAAGAAGAAGATGTTTTTGGCGTCTGCGCAATGCGGAGTTAATGTTAGTTACCAGCTGAGCGCGGGGGGGGGGGCTATTTTCATTTAACTGTCGTTAAATTCACCACAAGAGAAACTACCTACACCGAAATACGCGAGTGACTCTCACCAGAACCGATGGACGTTGCTCCGACCGGAGTCCCCGACCTCGGAGCTCCTTCTCGGGCCGGATGCCGTCTTTCCCTCCGAGCGTGAAGAAAAAAAGAAAAAGAAAAGACTGCCGGCTGCTTCTTTGTGGTTTGGTTTCGGTGTGGTGGCACTACTTTTTCTCCCCTTCAGTGTTGCTTATATCCGCGGAATGTGACGTTCAGCAGCATGGCTAGTTACTTATCTATTATCTTCTTCTTTTTAAGAATTTAAAAGTTCCGCTCCCAGCAGAGAAAAGCACGCGCTGTTGTCGTTTCCTCCGACCATGGCAGGGTGAGAGACGATGTGTGGTGATCACTGGTGGTTGTTGAGTGTTGTCCTCTCCACACCGCCGTGTCCTCATAGCGTCTGCGGGGGGGCGGGAAGGGGGAAACAGCGCCTCCCGGCGGTCGCTGATGGAACCTGCAGAACAAGGTTTTCAGAGCGGCCCCACAGCGGCCCCTGGTGGAGGTAAGATGCAATACCAACCAGCCATTATGGAAATAAATGAATAAAAACTTCATTGCAGACAAGAGCGTCAAAAACCTGTGGTGTGACTTTTTTACTTCAACTTTTTACAACTCTAACCACTACACTACACAGTTTCTTGGCAGATTACCAAGACAAAAATAGTAATCAACAAATAAAGACGTCTTTTTCAAATTTCAGATAAAGTCAAATCTGCCCTACCTTTACCAGCTGCATCATTAACGTAACCAACACATTAATGCATTGAATGTTTACTCCAATATGATAATATATGTTATAATTCTAAATTGGGACATTCAACATAATGTTACATTTAAAGCTTTCAATGGCAGTTCGCTCCAAAAACCTGTTCACAAATAAAACCGAAAATTCAAAACTCACATGCAGTTAAATTTAAAGTCAGATGTTCCCTCCTTCTACACCCTTTCCTCGCTTACCTGAACAAACTTAAAAAATGTATTCTGAAACCTTTCACACAATTTTCCTATTACTTCCCTGACCAACAATGAATTGCTCAACAAGAACAATTCAAACCTTCAGTCCCTTCTTCGGGCACGACAGAATTTAGGTAGGAGAAAAAAACTGTGCAAGTATGCGACAGGAGGTTGCATACTTTCCTGCAGGACTTTGTGCAAGAAGCAGAGAGAGAGAGCAACTTTGTTAAGAGGCCTATTTCATCTGCATCTGCAAAGGAGACATTTGGCAAGAAAACCCTGCAGGTTCCATTTGCTTATGTTGTCTGTGGTCCATTTCCTTGAGTGGGTTTGAACTGGATAAGTGGTGCAAATTCAGCCTGTAGAATAATTGATATAAGGAAGCCTAAGGTTTCCCCCTCTACGACTAAAGAAACAAGCCCTCACAGGTTCATGAAACCACAAAACACAACGCAACAAATGTATCAAGTTGAAATTAAATCGGCGCAGCTTGTTGCCACTTGAAAAAGCCTCCCTGCTGTTTATTGGATTCAGCCTCTTATCAAATCTCTACCCTCCCTCTCCTCCGACAAGCAGTCAATATTCCTCCGGGCTCCCACCTCCACCTCCCACCTACCCACCTCTCCCTCCTGGTGGTCCACATAACCCGTATCTCCCAGCAACGTCAGACACAGCGCTGAAGATGTCCTGGACATACGCGACCCTCCTGGCTCTCCTCACTGTGCTTCTGGCACTTTGCTGTGAGTTTGGTGCAGAATCATTGACGTGATGTTTTTTGTTTTTTTTCATTTCTTCTTTGTATGCACGGAACCTAGAACACATGTGATTTGATCTGAAGCCTCCACGTTTTGTCCCGCAGGGTCTCCAGAGGCCGAGTCTGCAGCTGTGCACAGCAGCACAGGCATCGCTAAAGAGCCACAAGGTGAGGAGCCGCATCAGCCGCTTCTCCTCTTCATCCTTTGTCACTTGAAGTGTGTAAGCTGAACCTCCACCTGATCCCCACTGCAGGGCCGCTGAAGGAGATCTTCATGAAGGAGGAAGACGCCTCAAACTTCTTCAGGAGACGCAGCAGACGGGGGGCGAAGTCTCAGGATGAGATTAACGGTGAGTCCACTGACCGGGTTCGTTTGTGGCAGTTTGAAGCGAGGTCCGGTCCGCCGAGGTGGTTCTGTGTTTGCATCGCATTGCATCCACATTGGGTCTCGTGTAAAGAACAATTCCTAACAAAACATCAGTCTTTACAATTATTGTTTTGCAATTGTCAGCCTGCAATATTTGAACTAAAACACAGTACTCACTTTCCTAATAATTAATTAATAATTAATAACTTAACAACTTTGTGTTCAATCAAGAGTTTTTTTATTCCCTACTTGTCTTCAAACTGTACAGTGATGCAACTGTAACACAAATTCTGCTAAAACGACCCAGATAAATCTTATATACTTAATGAATTTCCTACAAATTGGTGTAACTTTCTTTAATATTTAAAACCTAAACGTTAACAAAACGAATGATAGAAACAATGTTTGTTGAGTATGAACAATGTGAAACAAAGAGCAAATATCTGTGATATCTGTGTGTCTTGTAATAAAAACCGCTGACATTGTCCAGTACTCACATTTCCCTCCCTCTCGCTCCAGGGTTTTGTGATTTTTGCCACAAATTGAATATATACACAAATATATTTTTGTCATTTGTACTTTGAATGAACAGCTAACGAAATCTTAACAACCATCCGAACATTAACTGTTTGGGGAAGGCGCCCTGACCCGAGGCGACCTCAGACCTCACAGCAGCTCGTCGGCTGGACGCGGCAGAAGGACCCAAGGGGCTGAAGGGAGCTCACAGACACACACACACACCAACACACACAATATTTTTATTTCAAGTGTTGTGAAAATTCACACGCTGTACAACGTTTGACATTCCCGAGTGATTTAAGGGCCCGGTTATGTACAGTTCTGCCAACAGGAAGGTGAGAGCACACACACTGAGGCCGCTGCGCTGAACCCGAGTTGTGTAACACGCTGTCAGGTCTCCGTGTGTAACAACAGGACACTGTGTGCCGTTAAAAGCTGGCATACAGTGAACGCGAAGCGGTGAAAAGATGAGAGCGAGTGGGTGAGCGGTCGGCTCACTGCTTAATGAGGAATGTGCCGGCACACAGGCCGAAAGGGTTCAGCGTGAGAAAAAGACAGAGACAGAACTGTGCTCACTTTGAGGAGCTCTCTCCTGCTGCATAACGAAATAAAAGCAATTCGCTTGCAGGCCGGTGAAGTTTGCAACGGAAAGTGTTTGACAAACTGGTTTTGTGTCGCCATGTTTTAGTTGGTGAATTAGTGGTGAATGTTTTGGAAGCAACGTATTGACATGAAAGCGTAGACAACAGACTCTAAATGCTGCTGTTTGACCTTTTGTGAGAGCCAGTGAGCCGGAAAAAGCAACTCGGCTCCGGTGTGTCGGGGAGGAAAATGATGGATGATTTACTCTGCTGTGCAAAGTTATAAATAGTGAGTTGTTCCCTTCATTGCCAGGATGTCTTCATCTGCAGGTCATCAGTGAATCATTAAAACATGACTTGAAATCACAGAATGAGTTCCACCTCCGACTTCACTTCACTTGGAATCCAGTTAAAAGGTCAAAGGTGATGACCTGACTTTGCAAAGGTTACCGTGGCAATCCCAAACCTCTTATCTCAGCTGATGGGTCTTTCTAACGCTACCAAGGTCCGAGCGTGTGAGTTTTGAGTTTTGAGATGAGCACTTCATGGTGCCCCGGTCGTCTTGGTATCTCCAATCCTGCGGGTCAGAGGTCACATGCAGGTCATTTCTCTGCTTCTATATTAGAACCAACTTGGAAACGGATCCCGAGTGGAAAACATCCTCACTGAAGAAACTGTAAATATTGCAAAATACTCGCTTTGCTTTGTCGACTGTCGGGGTGCTTGTGAGTTTTGGATAAAGAACTTCGATCTTAGATCTTAGATCATCAGACTTCATTTCATCCTTTTGTGGTCCGAGTTTGGGTGTTTTTGATTGTCGGCCATGGAAACCATCGACTGTAGTGAATCACAGCGTCACCACAAATACCGTCTTCATGAAGTTGACTAAAAGCAGCTTTTGTTCAGAGACAGTGAGTCATTTTTTGTGCTCGATTGTCACAGGTAGCAAACAGTCATTGTGTTGACTGTGTGTGTCTGTACTTGTTTATGAGCTCTCAATGAAAACTCGTTAATCCAGTTTATTTCTAGACCAACATGATTTTCAAGGGAAAGTCAAAGTTGTTATTTTTTGGGGGGAAATTATTTTCTGCTTCAGCCAAACTGAGCGATTCAATTGAAGTTTGTTGGTCATAAAAAACTTTTGTTAGTCTACAAATTAAATGTAAAAAAATAAAAAATAAAATTGTTCTTGTGGGTGGGAGTATTAAAGAACAGCAGCTCTTTTATGAAGGTTTATGATGTTCAGTCTGCTGATTACTATGACAAAAAAGAACTGAATTGTAGATGTTTACACGCAATTAATGCGTCATCATCATCATCATCATCATCCTCCCCCTCTGTGCTTGCAGCGGAGCAGAGGCAGATTCTGGCTGCAGATGAGCGGAAGAGAGAGTTTCACGAGCAGAAGAGGAACGAATTTGAGAGCTACGCTGAAGAGGAGAATGACGGTACACTTGATGTAGCTGAGAGGGAGGATTTCATTCCCTCCACCAGCACATTTCTCCACTAAAACTCTGAAATAAATCTTCCCAGAACAAGACGAGAGGACCAGAGAGAGCACCGAGCAGTGGAGGGAGTTTCACTACGACGGGATGCATCCTCCTCACGAGTAAAACAGTCAGTGCGTCTGAGGCCGAGGGCAGCGAGGGAGGAGGTGAAGCTTTAATGAGACCTCCAGCTACGCGATGAGGCCTTTCTCTTCGGACAGGAATATAGTAATATCCAAAAACCTACGCTATTGCAATTTCTAGCATTGTCCAACTAACAGACAATAAAACATGATATTTACTTTTATATAAGTGGACAGAGAAAAATGTGAAAAACTGAAGGGTTTGCTTAAAAAATATATGAAGTTCACAGAAAAACAAATGGACAGCATCCTCTCCAGAGTAAATAACAAATTGTTATTCAAGCCCTATAATCCAAATAGACTTGTTCCAGATCTGTCAACAGATGTTTCTAACAGCTGCGTTCTCTTAAACCCTTCACAGGAGTAACGCATCCCTTTCTGCAGCAGACATTCCATCGCTTCAAAATCGTGTTTAGAAACAAATTCGGAAAACTATGAAGGAGGGCTTGGGTTGGATAGATGTGCAATGATTTTTATGCCTCCAGAAGTGTGAATATACCTCTTTAACCATACAGCTTGTACTATACATTGACTCACCTGTGATGAAATGAAGTCTCTTAACAATCATTTAAAAATCTGTATTTTTATTGTAATAAATATGTACAAACTGAAATAATTTGACCATTTACTCCAACCTTCAAAAAGCAACAACTCATGCATGCATCTTTTTTAATACATTAATCTCTAAAACTCCACAGCACATTTCTGCAACTATGTCATAACATGCAAACTGAGGAGCTCGCAATGCGTCACATTTCTGATTCCTGCTGATGTTTTTTTTTAGAAGGGAAAAATAAAGGGGAAGACAAAATATATATTAACACGCAGGACCCGAGCTAACGGTTGTTGAGCTTTGTATTTACAATGAGTAGATGTGAATATTCCCCACAGCATGTTAGGTAATTCAAGATGACAAAGCGCCCGATATTGGACATATTTTGGGGGAGTTCTGATTGTAAATTAAATAGGAGGTACCACAGAGAACATACAAAGGCCGATACCTTATTTTATCTGTGTGTGGAAGTCTCTGGAGCGAGAAAGAGAGTCTTTGTGCTAAATTCAACAAGCTGGTATGAAAGTACAGTGATCAAACACAGTGAGAGAGCTGTTCTCAGACCAGCCACTGCATGGAAGCACAGCACGATAGTACGACTACTGAACACTGCAAAGGAATTCTGCTCCGGGGGACTTCATTATGAATATACGTATGCATTCATTTGTCATTTTCATGCTCACTTTGTGATGAACACCATCTCCTTTAATCCCCAGTTTGACTCGAGGTTTTAACGGGAAAACAATCCGTTCATAGCGTCAATAATGAGGAGTTTAAAGAATAACCTTGATGGCACATCAGAATAACATGCAGTAACTGGAGGTTCTACTTTCCAACCATTTTAATCGTCCTCGTCGGCAGTGAGAGGGTTTTGGCTTCATGTCGCAGCACATCCCTGAGAACACGGTTGCCCTCCTGTGGTCAACCAGGAGTTCACAGTTACGTCCAAAAAACCTGTTCATCAGATAAAACATCGATTACAGAGTAACAACAAGTACAGTAGATACCGTTTCTTCATCATTCGACAGCTTTACAATCCTGTCTAATAGCACATTTACACATATTTTACAAAAGTGATAATATATATTATAAGAAAATAAATAATCCAACACATTAGTGCAATGCACCGGCTCTCTCAGCGATCCGCTTCCCGTTTCCTGTTCACACACACTTTAAAGCAAAGAGGTAAAGCATACCGTCGCACTGCTGGCCGCCATCGTGGCAAACGGCACGGCGAATCAAACGAAGAGCTGTCCAAACAACAAGTGCAGGTGATGTCACAATTATTTACCACGGCTTGAAACCTACATTTCACTTGCATAACATGACACCATTCGACATTTCCAGGCGGGATATTTACACAAGGCATACCGAGGAGTGTCCCCTTCCTTAAGACACTCACAGTTTAAACCGATAGCAGCGTCAATAAAGTTAGCGTGGCGCTCCCCAACTTCCTGCTCCTCCGCCTAACAACCGCGATCCAGGTGGACTACGGCCTCCACAATAACCACTTCTGGTGAGCGTCTTCCCCTCTGTGCTTCCAGGTCTGTATGCGAGGGAGAAGGGGTGGGGGGTGGGGGGGGGGGGGGGGTCTTGCCGGGCTGAGCCAACGCTCCTCAAATTCCTCCTCCCGCGGTCGGCAGAAACAGGCGGGAGGTCGCGGGACGAGCAAACTGGGCGACGGCGTCGAGGCCTGGGACGGCGGTGTCCCGTCTCAAAGCTCCGTGGTCTCCCAGCTCACCTCCCGCGGAACCTGGCGTCATTTAGTCCCGGTGTGGATGACCGTGACGGTGGAGGGCCGCGGCCGCGACGGCTCGGCCACCTCGGCCGGCTCCTCCAGAGCGGCGGGGGGGGCGTCGGGGTCCTGGGTGTACACTTTGACAGCAGAGGGCAGAGGTTCTATCGGAGGGCCTGAGGGAGGGAATAAACGTCAGCGCTGACGATTGTCGCTTGTCAATCAGAGCATATTGAACTCACTGTCCACAATGAAAGTTAATGAATATACAACGATATAAAACAAATAAAAGCAGTAAAACCTCACATTGGAAAAGTAGGATCCAGCAAATGTTTGCGCGTTTCTTTAATAAATAACAACGTTTATTAGTGAGGTGGTCCTGCAACAGATCTCATGTTGAATTAAATAAATGCCAGGTGACCACGCGGCTCATGCCGAATCAGCGTAGTCTGCCTGAATGGACACGGCCCCTCGGGAGCTTTTTAAACCGCTTCCAATCGTCTCGGCGAAGGAGGGCAGCGGAGTGAACGGAGCCATCCGAAGCGTCACTCACCGTCCTTCGGGGAAAGCGGGGCGCAGTCCACGGACTGGCTCTTGGCTGGAGCGCGGCTCTGAGGGCTGGACGCGGCGTTGTGGATGCTGCTGCCGAAGCTGGTGCCCAGCTGCAGGCGCCTCATGTGGCGCACCACAGCCGTGGCGTTGAAGGCTTGCTGTGGGAGAGAGGGCGTAATAAACAGAGCGTCCACTGGGGTTTCTGCCAGTCAAAGAAATAGAAAAGATTGGCTTTCTGACTGGTGTCGCGTGCTCACCCTCCATTTGCTTTTGGCAAAGTTTTTCCGCATCTGGCGACTGACTGATTCATGGATGTTCTTGCAGAGCGCGGTGCCTCCAGCAATCCTAAAAATTAAAGTTTTAGATTATGCAAATGAATATGGACACAAACACAGCATCAGGCAATTGGTTTATATTTGTATCTGTAAGAATTCTCCTGCTGCTGGTTTTTCCTATTTGCTCGGATCATTTATTTTCATTCTGCTACATCGTCTTTGATTGATGGATGCAATGTTTTTGGGGTAGCTCACACACTGCATCCCGGTCCGTCACATTCATCATCATTTCTGCGGGTGTGACCTTTTCAGCGAAAGCCGCTTCTCTCCGTTATTACGCCTGCGACTGCTGTCACAAACCCCATATTTGTTTAAGCGTCCCAAGCCGCCGCAAGACCCAAAAGGCCCATTAAGGGCTAACGGACCGATCCATACTGGCCACCTCGCCCAGAGACAGCGGCGCACGCCCCCGCTTGCTCTCGTTAGCTCCGGCTCAGGCCTGGGAAGACATCATAATTGTCCATTAAAGCTTCAGCATTCTTCAAGGATCCTTCGGGATACCAGCCACTAATAGGCAGCCATTTATTCAGCGGATCACGTTCTCTCTCTCTCAGAGGGCTGGCGGCGCCGAGCAGAGGTGGGTTTGCGCCTCGGAGCTATGGCGACAGATGACGGTGGGAGGACATTTTCTCCGTGACAAATGCGTAAGCCCGGCGAGCTGCGTCATACTGGGGTTTAATCACAGCGAAAGGCGCCGTGGTCCCGTGCGATTGTCTGGTCGGGCTGCGGCGTGCGGCGCGACGGGCAGTTTCTCACCAAGGGTGCTGAAGAGCCTGGTCACATATGAATCTCTTCTCTGGGTCCTTCTCCATGAGGCAGCTGATAAAGTCTTTGGCTGTGGAGGGAAATGAAAAGTGAAACATGCAGCAGGGTCCTGCAATCATCAGATATCATTGAGACGGGTCATTTTGTTGTAGTTATGGAGAAAACAGAAATGATGTTCTACTAACATAATAAATACAACCAGGAAAGGTCACAAAAGTGTGGCGGTTGTGGGACGTGGCTGATTTCCACCTGACCTGCGGACTAGAATCATCAATGTCATGCCTTAGACTGATTATGTGATAGAAGTAATTGAAAATCAATGCAGTGATAGGTTGTCAGATGAGTAAAACATCTTTAAAAAGAATTCAACGTAACAAAAGGGTGCTTGTTGGGTAACAAACATACGGACATCTTGCATCTGTGATCTCACTACTGTTACACGAGTTTGTACACGGATGCTACTAAATTATAGAAGAAATGTTTCAAGACCCCAAAAGAAGAAATACAGCTAAATATAATCATAAGAATAAAATACATTTTATAAAACTGATTGGAGGTAAAAATGTAATCATATTTATTTTACACGCCATTTAAACTAGGCTATTTAACTGCCTCTTAATTATATTCTTGACTCATCTAATAACCCTTACCACACTTCAGAAAGCACTTCTTGATTAAAAATAATTAGAAAACAACGGGACCTGCAAAATAATGGATTCTTTCATGTAGATTATACAAACACACACACGTTATAGCTCACCGGAGTCTGATATGTCATCCCAGTACGGTGCGTCAAACTCATAGTCGGCCTTGAGAATCTGCTCAAAGAGCTTCGAATCGTTCTCGTCATAGAAAGGAGGGTAACCACACAGCCTGGAAACATGATTACACAACAACAATTTCTGTGAGTGCCGATATCGAGCTTATGGCGCCAACCTTAACTTAACCCAAATAGAAAGAAGGATTTACTGGGAAATAATCTCATTCACTGGCCGTTTGAGGTTTTCCTATAGCATACAGGAGGAGACGGTTTAGAGGGATTACAGAGACTACATGAAGGCTAAGAGGGAAAGAAATAGGATAAAAGCGGTTTATATTCTTAAATGATATGAATAAAAATTACATAGATTCTGAACTTGATCAAGAAAGAGTCCATAAAAACAACCGGACTCCTTCGCGAAGGGCTTCAGGAACTCTTCCATGCAATTACCTTAAAATTCCTCAAACCTGACCAATGGATGACGAGAGGAGGGACTTTCCCTTCGCTAACAGGAGCAATACATTAAAATATAGTGTCGAACTTCAGGTAGTGACAGTATTTATAATTAAAAGTCAACACTTACAGAATATAAGCGATGACCCCAATAGACCAGCAGTCCACAGCTTTGCTGTAGGGCTTCTGAGCCAAAACCTCAGGAGCTGCAACGACGAAATGATTATTTGTTTTAATATGGCCAGAAAAACTAATACCCATACAGTGTTTTGACCGTTCAAAATGACACAGAAGCTGGAGAAGAATGTAGATGGCGGTTGGTTCGCCAGCAGCAGATGGCTACGGTTGACCTGCGGCTTCGGGCAGATTAGATCATGTTTAGCCAACTAGTTCATCTAATTATCTCAGAGGCTGTTTCCAGAACTCAGAGGGTGTCCTCACCAACGTATCCTGGAGTCCCACAGGCGGTGGCCATCACGTCACCTGTTCCCTCCATCTTCGATAAGCCAAAGTCGCTGATCATGATTTTTGATTCGTCGTGGGGACTGAAGTACAGCAGGTTCTCAGGCTTGAAATAAGGACGGAAAAGCGTTTGTTAAAATCGGATCTGTGCGTGTGTGCTCGTGGACCATTTGTGTGGATCCCTTTCAGTCATCCAGGCGGAAAGATGAGAAACTAAATCCCTTGGATAAGAGACAGCTCAGCCTAGAGGCATCATCAGTTTCGCCAGAGTGGGAAAATCCCGTACGTTTAACGTATGTGGGCGATGCCCATGAAGCTGTCCTGTAATATCATCCACTCCGATTAAATAGCAGGACCCCCCCCCACCCCCAGTGAAGTCATGGCTGTACCTTTAGGTCTCGGTGCACTATACCCAGAGAGTGCAGATAGTTGACTCCATCCAAAACCTGTCGAATGAGCCGGCTGGCGTCCATCTCGGTGTAGAAGCCTTTCTCTACGATGCGGTCAAACAGCTCGCCTCCAGACACCCTGCATGGCATGTGCATTGTAATATTACTAGATTAGCAAATCACAAAATGAATAGCAAAGTTCTATTTGGCTTCCTATAAGCGATGTATTGTCACTGACGACATTTGCTTAATCTGTCCAGATGCCAGATGTGACGGTGTAGTGACTTTCGAGAATAATGTTACTTTCAGTATTTAAAGAAATACATATACCATCGGTCTATGATTAGATATCAACAAAAATGTGATGATCCTTTATTTGTGATATAAAACATTTCTGGCACATAAAGAAATATTTTGTATCGTGCATCGGACAGTATATTCTTGCATGGAAATACCTCCAGCAAACCCAGACGCCTCGTTCTGCGACTCAAACAAGATAATAACAATACTTCAGGATAATCAGCCACACAAACCTGCCACAGATATTAAAGTGGTATTAATCTTCCACAAGGACATAACAGACGCTTATTAAAGACAAAAAACACATTATCAAAGCGGAGGGCTAAATGGGAGACGAACAAAGATGGGTTGATGTACTCACAGCTGCATTATGAGGTACAGGTGGTTTGAGCTCTCATAGATGTCCTCCAGAGCCACAATATTCTCATGCTTTATCCTACAGAGGGAGGACAGAGAGTTCAATTTGCTTGTTGTCAGTCTCGGCTCATTTCACTACAGTTCATTAATGAGGAGCAATTAGCCTCCTCTTCATTTTAAATGATGGCCCGCCAAGAGAAAAAGGTTTTATTCTTGTGGTCTTATTTAGCAGCATTTTGTAATCACGCTTTGTGACTGCGCACACGTTATTCATGCCGTGTCCAGGCAACCAAACAAGGTTTTACTGGAAAAGAAGAAAAAAAAACTCTGCGAGGAGACATGCAGATGACAGAGCGCGCTCACAAGGGCAGCTGGCTGAAAGGGAAAAGAATCTCAAAGGACTAAAACAACCTTCAAAACTTCCTTTCAGAGAGAACGAAAAAGAGGTTTCAGTAAACTAACAGAGCAAAAAAAGTCACGAGAAAATAAAAGGTGATAAAATGAAAACAGCAAGAAGGGTGGAGGGTGTCAAAAGGGTAGCAACTGTAACCAGGCAACTACACCCAACAACTGTCGAGCTCACTTCTACAGTGACTGATAACTGAGCTTCACAGGGGGAATCAACCATCCGGCCCCAGAGGAGGATGGATTGTTACCCTCTGTGTGTACACACACACACACATTGTGAAGACCCAAAATGGTGGATAGATGAGATCCGACAAGTAAGTCACTTAAGCCTGACAACGGCTGTTAAACAAACTCAGCAGCATCCAAACTCTGAGTCATTACTCTGAGAGCAGAGACACACAAGCTTCCCCCTTTTCTCTAAAGCGGTGTTATTCTTCTGCAAACTCCCCCGCGGCTCAGCCATGCGCTACCTACTTCCTGAGCACCGCGATTTCATTCTCGATGCTCGTCTCCTTTCCCTTCAGGGCTTTTTTCGGGATGCACTTGATTGCCACCATCTTTCCCGTGGCCTTCTCCCGAGCCATCACCACTTCGGAAAAGGCGCCGCTGAGAGGAAGAGAGAGAAACATGTCAGTTCTGCATATTCGCTCGGGCCAATATTGACACAGAAACCGTATCGGCGGTGAGTAGATAAAGGGCACTCGGAGGCGGGGAGGCCAGAGTACACAAACAGAAAACTGGGAATATTTGCTGGCCAAGTCCCTGGCTGTTGGCTCACGCTTGGTGCTCGCGTGCAGCCAAAAGCACGGCAAACACTTTTAAAACCTCTAGAAAAAATGTTTTTAAAAACACACAAACACACACACACATTTAGGACGGCGGTTAGCGTTTCTTCGTCTGAGCATCTGTCCCCGTACACGAGAGCCCTTTAAAACCAAATACAGAATTAAGGGGAATATTTGCTCAAGCAATCTGCATCTGTTGCTATGATACCACACTCAGTCCACGTTGATACATCTCGCTGAGGAGGCAGCGTGATTGCTCTCCACACTCCCTTCTGTATTTTATTATCCACCTTTTTGCTCCGTGCACAAGGGCTTAATGTGAACACGTAAAGACAAAAAGGGTAGTTTGGAACCAAAACAACTACTGTGATCTGAAAAGAAAATCCTTGATACACCGATTAAGTCCTGCAGCTTCTTTGTAAGACATAAAATAGTAAACTGAGCCGGAGGCCAAACGGTCCAACTGCAGCTAATGAATTCTTGATCAACTCCGTCATATTGTCAACTGCAGCTCAGTGGTTTTAAATTTGTCCCTTTTCTGTCCTGAGAAATAAACGTTTTATTGTGTGCAACTTTAAGACTAGTACAGCTAAATGCTCCATGAACAACATACAGCATCTAATGAGTTAAACACAGTAAGTACCAATAGGTTCTAACAAAAATAATTGTAGTCTTGGGAAAAAGTCTTTCTGTGTTTATTTCATAAATAAAGCGTTTGTCAGCGGCCATTTATGTGACATCGGCTTGCTTGCTTGTCACTGAAATCATTTTTACATGAAATTATACCTTTAATGTAACAGTGACGTTGCCAAAAGGTCTTATGCAAAGAGCAATCAACTTCTAACCCACCATTTTCTATGGAGTAATCTTAAATTATAATTTCCTCACAAAATGTTTAATTGCAGAAATAAGCTGTTGAAACATCAACAGTTACACAAAAGGGAAATTACACATCTTAAGTGATCCGCAGCCTGACAAAAAGAAAGACGGCGAACACTAAAAGGTCCATTATGTGCTCAGAGTGTAATCAAAAAATTAACTCTGCGCCACTCGCTGCACTAAGTCCCACATAGGCCATCAAATCCAAGTTAATCCCTCACTCCCTGTGTGTGTGTGTGTGAGGGGGGCAAACACACTACCAGGTCGCAAAGTCCTAGCCCCGGGTGTGATGAGGTTGAACACACAAAGACAAACTGAGGGGGCTTAGAGCGCACGGCCCGCCGACTTCAACCTCAGTCGGACACGCGACGTGGGGCGATATGTAAAGTCACGGCCTCGTGTCACCAGCATCTTCCCACCACAGCTGTTGCCGTGAGAACCACGGGCATCGATGTGATGTGAACATTCTGTTCTGTAGAAGACGATGACAAAAAGCACAGGAAACCTGTGAGCTCACTGAGAGGGGGGAGGGAGGGGGGGGGGGGGGGGGGGGGTTTGAGCATGTAGCACCATTTCGGTCCCCCTGCTAACCGCATTGACACGCGGCATCACTTCCTGCGACCGACACAATGACAGAATCCAACGCGGTTACTTCCTTCGCACCGTTAACGCATGAAGAACGACAAACTGCGCTGCGAGCATCAAGCGATTCATTCCACACACACAGGAAAGAAAAGGTGTGATGTGTGTTTGAGACATACGGTGATGCCACTTCCCACATGCTCGCTCTACACACACATAAATATACACGCATCTCTACACATGCATGCATATACACACGCAGAGATACAGAAACACGTCCACAACAAGCATTTTGTGTCATTTTCCAATAAATAAATTCCAAACATTGAAAATGCTGTGTATCTCATCTATAATAACACGGAGTGTATGCAAATAAACAGTAAAGTACAATTTACTACTTTTCCAAGCTGCAGCTGAATTTTAAGTTCTTCTCAGAGCTCCTTCGTCAAGGCTCTTGGATGACAGTATGAGAGGTTTGTGTGTGTGTGTGTGTGTGTGTGTGTGAGTCACACAACATCCCCACGCTGTGTGAAGGACAAACGGCCTGACTGACGTGAAACGTGAACGTTGCGGCGCCCTGTGTGAAACCTGCGGCGTGTGCTACAGACGCAAAGTTTTGTATCAAACAACTTCTTCAGGCCACAACCTCGGCCGCCCGACCTTCAGCCGTTAAAAGTCATAGTTTGTTGTTTCTTCCTTCTTGACATTCACCATATTGTGTCGAGTAATCACACTGAATCCTCTTGTGCAAGATGCGTCACAGCGGCCGGTCACGCACCAGACCGGATGGAGAAATCGGACTCGCTATTCCAGGTAGAGCAATAACCGGCGAAGTCACAAAGTCACCCGTCAACAGTTCAACGACAGCTGTCACCAGAAACACGCCAGTTTATGCAATCAATACCTCACAGAAATGAGGGTCAAATGAACTTCAACAGCTTGGGTACAATCACTGTTTCTACTAAACACATGTACGTGTGTATATAATATATATGTATATATATATTATATACACACAAATAATATGAAAACATGAAATAACATGTTAAACAGATATCACTACTTTCTGCAATGTGCACTTTATTAGTGTCATCATCTAGAATCCACCAACCCGGTCACCTCAGGATCAGCTGTCTGTAAACCAGTAAGTAATTATGGTGGTTGAATGTATAAAACAACATACTAAAACACTGGAAAGCATACAAAGAAAGCACCTCTATCAGTGTAACGTTAATCAAACATGAACAGAATATTCTGAGCGCTTCAAGAGCCAACAAACCGCATTTTGAAGCTGCAGCTGGAACTGATTTACAGGAATATATTGTTGGTCAAATCTGAATTGTTCCGTGTTTTAGAAGATTTCCATTGGAAATCTGAACTAAGCCAAATGGATTTGTCAAATAGAACAGAAATAGTAAACCTCCATTCTGATGAATCTAAATCTTTTTCAAGCCAAATTACCATCTCAAACACGTTGCCTCCGTCCTGCGGAAACCGTTATGGAAAACCACTGTGGAGCCAGTACACAGGGGTCACGTCAGCACCTCAGACGTGGTTTTCATGTGTGCTTCCTGCAGGCAGACCAGCCAGCGCTGGTTTTCTCTCCTTCCATTTGGTAAACAGCATTGATCGGGTGCTGGTGAGTTAAATCAACATACAAAGTTTGTATAAATAGCAGGAGCCCTCAGTCCCAACAAATGATGCTGGAAACCATGACCCAACAACACACACGGACCTGAGGCTACTTTCCAGGAATTTGTACTTGAGACTGCTGATCAAAACAGAGAAAGACGGTCAATTTACGGGGTGATTGATTGACATCATTCTGGGAGTCAATGCCACCCACGAAGAGCTGAAAACAGGAGCCACATCCATCGCCCGAGGGAAATGTTTGGCAGAAATCTGTCCTAAGCCTCAGATCGGCCTGCCGGAGAGAAGCTGAATTATTTTAATGGGGGCGATTATCGCTTCCTGCGCTTTGATGCAGGCCGGTCTGGTGGGCTTCAACTCCCTGAGTGCAGAGGACGGTACACTGTGGTGGGAGGGTAATGGCTACCAAATCACACATACTACGCATTATCTTATTTGACTCTCCATCATTACGGTCGACGACAAAGTGTCTCCGCCCACAGTAAATGTCGCTGTAGAGAAGTGGCGGCGGTGGCAACAGGCTTCTTCAGAGGGAGCAACCAAGGACTACATCCTAGTTGCCTAGCTGCCATTTTCCCTGCCTCAAGGAACCAACCTACTCTCTACGCGAGACGGTGTTTTTAGAAAATGATCAATTAAGGTAGGCAGTCATTTCAACGCTTCACGAGCGAGAACTTTGTCAGAGCCGCTCACTTCATTATCAAACTGAGAGGCCTACTCATTCATTTCAAGGATTTGATGGCAGAAAGAATCAGTAAGGTTGGACTTTAGTTTGCACTCGCAGATAACCTAAGAAAGCAGGACCACCACATTTAAAACAAATAAAGTGAAGAAAAGTCTGCAGCGTCGCCCAAGACATCACAAACCCCGACGCTATGCGTGTGCCCTTTGGCCCTTTGGCATGAAGCCACAGAAGTGTGAAATGCAAAGGAACAGATTTTACCCCTCAGGCCATCGCACTGATGAACAAATCCAATCCACTCCAATACACCCCCCCCCCCCCCCCTCACCAAATAGGATCCACCTATTTCATAAATGGGAATAAGAGGCCATACTAAGGTTTAGTAAATCAATATGTCTTTGTCGATAATGGATCACATGGGCCATCGGGGCTCTCCTTCGCTCTACAGAGCATTTTAGCATCTTTAAAGCTCCATCGTTTACCTTTTTTTTTTTTTTTTCACCACAGAAAACCCACTTCACTTGGTGCATTAGCTGGGGAACACTTAGCGGCTGAAGAGGCGGGAGCTCCAGCTCTGGACCATAGAGACCTAAATCAGTGAGAAGGAGAGAGAGGAAAATGTATTTAAATTGAGCATCTGGACAGGAACGAGAATCAAAAGTGAATGAGAACGTTCCATAAGTGCAGAATGTTGAACCGGGCTGCCACAAACACATCTTTTGACTTGTCATTTATTGGCCCAATTGATCAGACATTAAATACCGTTTCTGGAATGCTTTCTGTCACAGTTCCGATTGTAATGAGTGACAGTTATAGTGAAGATTGGGGAGGAAAACTGGTAACGGAGCCGTACGCGTTGGAAGCTACAACAACACTTGCCAACTGGGACACTGAAGGTTACTTAATTTGCTCCCACGGAGCATCAGCAGCTTAAGGCTCTGGAATTAGCCACAAGGCAACGTGGCAGTGAGGTAGGAAAACGTCTTTAGTGACAAAGATCTCTTTAGGCCTCAGCAGCTAATGCAATAAAAAAACAAATAAAAGGGCAGGATGTGTGGCCCGAGCAGTGACAGCGACTCAGGCTTACTCCTCAAAATCCTATCAATACCTGATCCGCTGTAAGGTTCACGGCGTGGCCTCTTTGTGCAGGAGTTAAAGTAGCAATAGCACAATGCAGGCAATAATGAGTTAGAAGTGAAAAGCTTGCCTCCAAAGTTAAAAGGTAAATGTACTTAAATAGATTGA